AATGTGTTGAGTTCGGTTTCACTCTCTCCACAAACAAGACAAAAGCATACTCTCATCACAAGCGGGGAGAAAATGAAGAACTACAAATTAATAATGTAACACTTGAATGGATTGACCACTATCAGTACCTTGGCGTCACTGTCGGCTCTAACAAGGGGAAGAAAGAGGAGCTCAACCAGCTCATGGGAACATGCAAAAGTCGACTCAGGGCACTGAAAGCTTTGACCTGGAATGGACATGGAGTCTCTATTCCCGTGCTTAAAAAGATATATACAACATATGTGCACTCCGTCATAGATTATGCCGCGCCAGTTTTGTGCTCTTATTCCCAAAGCGATATAAAAAAAACTTGAAAGCATACAAAATGAAGCCATGACAATCATTCTTGGAGTCCCAAGAACTGCCAAAACATCCAATGTACGAGAGGAGTTGTCCCTCCCCAGTGTTAAAAGCCGAATTCAGGAACTGAATGCTAAGCTTGCAATTAAGATAGCCAGAGATCCCCATTACAATGATATTGCCAAGAAAAAACTGAGTTCTGTGCTACTTTCAGGGAGAAACAGGAGAAGCAAAATATGGCATCACAGATCAGTCTGCTACCTCGAAGAACCTGCTTGAGCAAGCCTGTGAGCTCATGCTTGTAAAGAGGATACCTCCCTGGGTGGATGACCCATGCAGGATCATCACCAATGAAATGGCAACGAAAAAGTCCAAACATGATAGCTCAAGAAATAAGGCACAATTATCTGGAGGAAATCTATAAAGAAGCCGGAAATGAGTTAGATCATTGATGGGTCATCTAACCCTGTCAATGGCAGGACTGGTGCAGCATACACTGTAATTAGGAATGATGCTTTACAATGCGGAAATGAAGGAAAGGCCCGTATTGAGAACTATGCCTCTTCAACACAAGCGGAGCTAACTGCCATTGTTATGGCGTTAAGATTCCTTGAACGAAGCACTAACGGTGCAGTGATCTGCACCGATTCTAAAGCAGTGCTACGAAGCCTTACTGAAAATCGAAAAGAAAATCTTGCGATAGTCGGTGAAATCAAGAGAGCGGTGAGAGTATTAACCAATCAAGGAAGAATCGTCAAATTTCTGTCGATCCCCTCCCATGTTGGAATCTGTGGAAATGAATGAGCAGATGTGCTGGCTGCTGAAGACGCTGAAGGAAACCACATTGAATACTTCATACCCAAGACTCTTTTACAAATTAGAGGTATTATCAGGCAACATCACCGTGACAAGGTAACTGAGAAAAGGAGGACAGAAGAACAAGTCAGTGAATTTGTACGCTGGTACAATGTGGTTGCAGCTGGCACGCCCAATCATTATGGACGAAGAGGTGGCCGTGGAAGAGAATCGGTAATAGCAAGAATTCGTCTTGGATACAAATATCCTTGGAGATTCAGAATGGAAACAACAATTGAACAGCAGAGTTGCAGAATCTGTGGTGAGAGTGACGGACACCGCCTTGACCACTACCTGAGAGAGTGTGGACATCTGAGTCATTAGAAATATGTGTAGAATAATAAACTCCCACATTGTTTGAGTTAGGAAAACACTATTTGTCAAATATAGACACTGTTCTTAAAAGATTCCCCCATTTTGCACCCGCAAGATAACGTAAGATTTTAAGGGTTGACGAATATTAATCTTCTTGTTTGATAAGCTGCTGACTTGAGACAGTTAAACAAGTCCCAGCTGTGTCTGGGTACAAGTGACAGGATGAACAACCCAGCGGGTTTTCTTCTTATTGAGGGAGTGTTGTACATGCTGCTATGGCGGTGTGTCCACTTACAGGCTGCTTTACTAGGCGCTGCCCAGTTAACCCGTCCCTCGGGGCAAAATTTAAAATGTTAAAAATTTGGACACTGCGCTCTTTGGGAAGCTGTCAGCCGCTAGTTTAACCCGGCTCTTCTTTAGTCGTTTTTCATTAACCGTTTTACAGGCTCATATGAATCATAAAAAATGGCTAAATAAATAAACTTCGTGTTCCAACTGTGCACAAATATCCCACTGTCAACTTTTGCACTGTCATTTGACTAGCGAGAGCAGCAGTGTTCACATGACACAATAACAAAGAGCTCAACATGCACACGTGACTCAACATTCTCACATATGGCTGCCATAATAACAAATAAGAGGTTCCTCCCTCACTAGTAAACATCTCCATCAGCTCTCCCATCGCTCCGTCTTCCATCTCCATCGTTCTCACTACTCACCACCCATGATATACTTTAATTGCTCTGCGTGTATAATAAAAAAAAAAACATTTTCTCATTAGTGACTGGCTGTGTTTGACCAAAGCATGCACATTGTGCTTAATTTTCAACGTACCAAATGTGCATGTTTGTGAATTTATAGTGCCTAAATCATTATCAAATCTAAAACAAAAATTAAGCAGGGCCAGTTTCCTTTTCTGTGTACTTAGGGAAAAATTTGTATTTTTTTCTCTCTCTGAAAATAAAATACATATAAGTATTCTGTGCATTTCAGTTTCATAATCCTGCTCCAGACCTAAAATAATCGAAAATAACCTGACTTTCTTTACATATATAATTGACTGTATCCTATGTCTAATATTAATTATACGTGAATTAACAATTCAAATTATTTAGTTTAATTTAAATAAATTAGGTTTTATTGATATCTATAAGCTATGAATTTATTTTTATTTACTATTATTCAATTTATATATTCTTACTCAAATTGGAATAGATGAAAAATGCTTGAGAAACTTCTTTGGAAGATATTTCGCTCCAATGAGCTTTGACGAATTTTATGAGCCACATTATATCTCTGTCAGCACTTTGTGCTTTGTTCATTCAACATCGTGACTCGGTGTATCAAATCAACCCGTCGTCCTAAAGTTTCCCAACGTCAAGAAACTGTCGTACTAAAGTGCTCTTATCCTAACCTACCAGAGGACCTAAAACAGAAAACGGGACAATATGTCAATTTCGCGAGCTGCTTCCATTTTCTAATACGACATTTTTTTTTACTTTAGGGAGTGTATACGCCAAAATGCGACGTTTTGTTAAGTGGACAGGTTGGTCAAAAAAACAAGAGGAACATCGGTAAGCTAAACAGGCTCCTTGTCCCTGCCACCAGTCTACTATTTTTTGTGTAGCTTAATAAATGGATGGAAAGATTACAGGCAGAAACCAATAATTTTCAGTGAACTAGTTAAAATGAATTTATCTGAGGGCTCTTGTGGCCTCAACGAGGAGAGGAAGCTGGAGGCTTGCTTATACAGAGCCCGGTCTCCACAGTTACACCAACCGCCAAGCTGCATGAGTCATGACGGGCTCTAGAGGCTGAGGCAGGCTGGCAGACACAGGTGCCAGCCACTAACGGCAGCTCTACGTCCAGAATTCTTAATTCGTCCTTGGACGCTCGTTATGGGTGCTGATATTTAAAATTACGTCATAACGAGACCATATGAGAGGAGAGAGAGCAGTTGCTGCGGCGTTCCGTGACTTGATTCACAAAACAATTTGAGGGGTCAGTAACAAACGATCAAACACCTAAATTACTCCTCGATCATAGAACAGCAATAGGAACAAAAGTCCCTACGGTTTGAAACAAAGTGTTCTTAAGACATATTGGATAAACTCATAATTTAAGACATCCTTAATAACAAGATTATTCTTAGCCGTCTAAAAAAAAAATCCTGTAATATATAATAACAAGCATTGGCCCCAAGATGGACCCTTGCGGTACTCCACTCATGGAAAAAATGAATGAAAAACGGTTTACACAAGACTCACAACTGATGTTGTTCGAACCACCAGCCTGTCCTCCAAACAAAGACCCAAAAGTTATTACATGCGCCAGCCCGTCCTCCAAACAAAGATCCAAAAGTGATTCCATGCACCCGCCAAACCCCCTGTTTATGAATGAAAAACGGTTTACACACGACTCACAACTGCTGACGTTCGAACATATCCGGAACAAGTGCTTCACTGACGAATTTTGTTCGAATCACAACGCTATAAATGCTTCACCCACGTACTACAAATACAAATAATCGCCAACAGAACCTAAACACCTAACCTAACCTAACCTATGCCTATATATACACAATATGCTAATATATTATAATATTAATTTATACTTGAGAAAATTCCCGTTTTGAATAAACAGCATGTTAAAATTTATGAATGCGTCTGTGGGGTCGACCGCTGAATGAAATGGACTTGAGTCGAGGACGGGTTGCAACAGTACAATTTCCACAGTGATTCAGATAACTGGAGTACAGACGCTTTGGATTTACCACACCTCTTCAACCTCAAGAATGTAGCAATCGGCGTGTACAGTTCTAATCGACCCCAAGACTCTACAGCTTGGATACAGAACAGTCAGCAGACTACGACCGCATCGAGCTACAACGCTCTCGCTCTCCATTGAGTTTGGACACTCATGATTCCCCATCGAGCCGCCAAGCTCTCTAACATAGAGCTCTGTGACTCCGGCCTCACTCAGCTCCCTGTTCTGCTCCAAGCTCCGACTGAACATGTACGACAGTGCCAACAACCGACTACTGTAATCAAGACTACTAAATAAATATGAAACTCACTAAACACTGTGTATCTAATCTACCCAAAAACGAAACATAATCGTACGTTACATTATTACTGGTGTTCAGCGCTGGGAACATTTTACGGGATATTTTAGGCTAATTAATGTTTCCAAATTTACCCATCATTCTGCAGAACCCCACAGAGCATCACGGAACATTTGTACAAGCCAAGCAACAGAGGTAAGCATGCTCTGAAGATTGACCTTTATAGCAAGTATCTGATCAATACTGACATACCAGAGATATCTAGAATACTATGCGAACTCAGCCTTCTCTTTTGAACTTAAGAATTAAGTTCCGTTTGTTATTCTCTGCAATTAAATATTTTATATTGTGTGCAATATAATATTTCTCACAGTTTGCAATCATATTCCTCTCCGATGACACGCGAATGACGTTTCAAATATGGCGGGTTGTGACATCACGGGAAGGTGACTGGCACAAGCGAAGGGAAGGTCCCGCACTCGAGCGTCAGCAGCACAGGCGGCCACTTCATCCCTCCCTCCCGGCTTGTGTCAATCTTCAAACATGGTCTACAAAGTTAATGACAAGGTTTGAACCCTTTACCATTAAACTCCTTTTAAGCTTAAGCATATTTCTAAATAATAAAACACCCCAATATTCTAGGTATTGCCCCGCAGGCTGTGGTCGATGGTGTATGGTGACCGTTGCTGGGCCGCCCATACAATTCTATCGTGTCCAAAAATTCCTCCAGAAACGAACTTTTGAAATTTGAGTGTGTGTTGGTTTGTATATTATTAAGAGTAACTAGATATACTGGTGGGGAGGTGAGTGCCACGAGGGGGCGGGACTCGCCGGGTTCAGGAATTTGATCAAGTTTCACTTATGTTGAAAGTGATTGTGCTAAATTCCACATTTGTGAGTTTTTAACTTATTGGTAAAATTAAAGTTTTTTTATCAGAAGATGTCGAGTACTTCAACAACAAAAGGGGGGGGGGGATATTTAATGTTCTTTGTGGAATACTTTGTATATAATTTACCGGGAAGATAGTGGGGAAAACTATATTGATCAAAATACTTGTGGCTCTATACCTGGTGCATCATTGTTGATCATAGAGCTAGCTAGGCCTGTTAAGGCTGCCCACCAGAATAATTTATATACTGTACCCTACTATATTTTTAATAATTAATGTAATAATAATACAATAATACACATTAAGTAATGTAGGATAAAAACCCATACTTATATATTTGTGAAATCTGTGTGAGGAATTGTCTTTCACACTCTCTTGAGTGCTTTATCAAGGTGTGAGTGTGTGATTAGGATGAGACTTACATCTCAACGTCTAATCATTAGACGTTGAGATGTAAGTCTCGTCCTAATCACACACGCCTTGATAAAGCACTCGGGAGAGTGCGAAAGACTTAGTGCAAATTCCTTACATAAATTTCACAAATACATGAGTATTTATCCTTTATTATGTCTGAGATGACATTACCATTACTGTACTAATAAGTACCGTGTTCTTTAAATCCATTGCAGTTTCTGGCTGCAGGGTCCAGCTGTTTTTGTGAACTTGTAATTGAGGGTCCTGGGTTTGATTCCCAGGCAGGGCAGAGATGGTTAGGCGAGTGCCTCAACTCAAACTGAGGTGTAGGTGTTGGTCAGACTGTACCGTGCTACCTACAGAATCCAAGTCGTATACAGTACTGTAGTTCTGCATATTTATACATAAATTTACCATTGTTAATTTTCCTGAGGGCCCTCATCTATCCAGTAGCCTCAACAGGAACAAGAAGCTTTCCGCGTGTCAGAGGGGCCTCGTTATTTTTCCCGATACCTTTTCTCAACTGGATTTTGAACTGTAGTAGTAATGTCTTGGCATTTACAGCTGCACTTGTTGTGCAGCTTTCAAGGACTAGTAGATTGACTCCTAGGCCCTTTTCTTCAAGCTACTGCATGGTAATGTTATATTTACGTGCTACATGCAAGGTCTAACATTTTTCTATATTAGAAAGCATTTGCTAGTCTTGTCATTTGTGAAGTTCATGTACAACTCTGTAAGGCCTCTATTTTTGCTTCTTACGTCTTCATAAATCTTAGTGTTATCTGCAGGGGTGTAGTACCAATTTTATAAATAAATAAATGTTTATTCAGTTAAAAGTACATTCATTCAAAATAAGTTACAGAATGTTGGATTTCTAGATAGCTAGTATCATGTATTTATCAATTTAAGAAGTTAAAACACTTAGTGCTCACAAAATACAACCAGTGAGAAGTTTCACAATAGTTTCTACAAAGGGGTGGGATGTGAGATGTTTTCAGGGGTCTGAAGGCACTCTCGTCCTTGTCAACTGCCGATCTGTGGTACCACAGCCATGGTATGGCTCAGGATTCCACTGAACTAGAAGAGGTCCATGTAGTTTAACAAACATAAGTGCTGATACATGATTTATGAGAATTCTTGTGCATATTATCAGGTTCATGTGACAATCACCTCTCACACTCTGCAGTACTAATAGGAGTAACAGCTCAGTAATGGGTGTAAATTTTGGATGTAGCATCCATGATCCTCCACATAGTTTCTAAAGGCATTTAGTGCAGAGTAAGAAGAAAGCTCTTACATAGATATTTCAGTTTCTCTGTAATTAGGTGGTATTTCATCAGGCCAGTCTTTTTCAAGCACACATTTTACTTGGCAATGATTTATACATTGAGGTTTGGAAGTTTGAGAGCCTTTCATGGATGTTGTCATGAACATACGTTGCTGTAAATTATTCGCAAGATTACTAAGAAACTGTTGATAATTAATGGAGACAATTTTCTTGTTGCTTGTTATGGTAATTCCTTCAAACTTCCCCTTTTCAATTGCCTTTTGTGCCAAAAAATATGCAGAACACAAAATTGAACAAGTTGTCTTTAGATGTGAAACATTCATGGCATCACACTTTTTCCAAAAGCATCTTCACTAGCTACATTTTCAACACTTAAAGCAGCAGTGTGGGCTTTCGATAGTTTGATAAAAAAATTTCCTGAGAGACTTCAAGTGTGTACTTCGATCTGCTCCATAATAGGACTTGGTACATCTGCCACACATTTGAGTCTTAAACCCTTGGAAGTGAAAAGGGTTACATTGCTTACGTTTGCACATACTTTACAGCCAAGTTTATCATCCTTGAAGTCTAACCGTGGATAGGTTTCCTTTTTTCTGTATTCCACATTTCTTCAGTCCAAACACCTGAACAAGGATACATGTTAGACCTCAAACATTACTTTCTGAATTGCACATGGATCCAATTTGAACTAGAAGCAGTCGAAACACAACTTTGCCACTTTCACCATTATCATTGTCAGTCTCCTGTATGTTATTCTTCTTACACCTCCAAATCTTTAAAGAAATCCATAAATACTTCATCTACTGGAAGTCCTTTATCTGAATAGCTGATTACTGTGTCCAGAAATATGAGCAGGTTTGTAAGGTGGAATTTATTTTTAACCATGCTGTTGATTTCACTAGATTGTGCAATGAGAAATGGTAAATGATTCCCCTTCCCTGGGATTCTCTTCATAAGTTTCCAGATACACAAGGATATGCTGATCAGTCGGTAGTTTTCTGCCGAGTTCTGTTTTAGTAAGAGGTGACATTTGCATTTACATATGCTGTATAAACTGATTGTGTACATATATAAATAAATATGCATGGAAAATTACTGAACATTATTACTGTATTTTAATTTTTTGTAGCAAATTAAGGATGTTGAGCAATATGTTTTGTTTTTCTGCTAGACTTTGTCATTCTTGAAGCTACAGACTGGGAAAAGCTTTTAAATATTAGAAAATTCAAGGTCTAAAATTCCTGCTATGAAATCACAATTGTATGAACAAATCCCCAAGGGCCGTGAAGAGGGTTAGAACCAATGTCAGAGATGATCCCAGACGCACCTCAATTGATCCACTTGGATGTAGATCCCTTGGTTTCCTCTCAGACGTAGGTTCTAACCCTCATCACAGCCCTTGTGGATTTATTCATTTGATGTATCACGCTATTGTGATTTCTGTGTAATGAAGTAAGGGTGAAGAAGTAGAATAGCCTGTTGACAGAGCCCAGGTGCATGGGGAAATTGTGTAAAACCCTGATTTGGCTCTCAGAGAGACTGCAGGATCCGTGTGAGGAGAGTGGCACTCTCGGTTGCAATTATTTTACCACGTCTTGGCACAGTCGATTAAGGTGTCTGGCATCCTCTCGGACATAGGATCGAACCCTCATCACGGCCCTTGTGGGGCCGTTCATTTGATGCATCACGCTATTGTGATGTCACAAATCATATCTTCTATAATTTTTATTAGTTAGTTGTCATTAATAATATATTATTTGATACTATTGCTCTTCTTTTTATTAAGACTTCATGATCTGCTTTTTACTTTTTTTTCACTATTACTCTTAATATCAATGCCATTATCTGCCAGTCATGATCACATTTATCAAATAACTAATACACATTTATACAGCTATAGCAAGGAAATTCCTCCTCCTCAACCTTGCCTCATGTAGGGTAGTCAGTCATTGATGTTCCCGGTGGATTAACATTTTTTTTCCCCACAATCTATAAAGTAAGAACTGTTTTATAAAATACTAGTGTGGACACTATTTTAAAACGGCACATGTGTTAAGTCTGGCAGTTAAGACATGTACAGTACAGTCACTAGAATTTATCTGTCAGCATTTTCTAGATAATCCTGAGTCAATTGGTATTATTTAATTTGTGCATGGTTTAAATCATCTTGAAATGTTGGTACTCGGTAAATTTAAATATATACAGTTCTTAACCAGATCAGACGTTTTAATGATACTCAGGTTTTCAGACATGATTTCATTTATACGTCTTTATTTAAATTCTAGGATGACTTTGACAAGCAGCTATCTGAAGCTGGTGGAAAGTTGGTCATTGTTGATTTTTATGCAACCTGGTGTGGGCCTTGCAAGATGATTGCACCCAAGCTTGAGGTATGTATTTTGTGATTATCATGTTTAAATTTTGCTAAATGCAGTATACCAATTTAATTTTGTTTATTCTAATTTTGTTCTTTGAAGTGCTGTTATAAAAGAAATGCCATTGTACTGTAATTGGAACTGCAGGAGGATTTTTTGTTGCAAATAGCCATGGTCCTTGACCAAAGAGGTAAGCTTAACTAATTCTGCAAATAGTGTAAGTATTCTGATAAAGCAGAAGAATCTGTTGGTGGTAAGTTTATTCACATAAATGGCAATTATCATATATTTTTGGAAGATGTAGCAAAGTTTGTTTACATAATGTAATAAACTTGTTCAGGCAATAACAAATTATGATGAATACAGTAAAGACAAGTGTTGATTGCAGTGCATTGTCATGAAGTGAATTAGTTGGCGAATCATCCTGTGTATGTTGTGACTTGTATCCTATCCTCCTCCTAGCTGAGGCCTCTCAAACCTGGTACTAATCTAGTTGCAAACCTCGGAACTTTCTCAAGTTTATGCTTCACAAAGTGTGGGTTTCATACTAAAGTAATGGTTTCACATAAGACAATGTGTATGACTTCAAAGCTTTCTCTTGAGATGATTTTGGGGCTTAGCGTCCCCACGGCCCAATCCTCGACCAGGCCTCCTTTTTTGTTACACACCCCCAAGAAGCAGTCCGCAGCAGCTGTCTAACTCCCAGGTACCTATTTACTGTTAGGTGAACAGGAGCATCAGGGTGAAAGACTGCCCATTTGTTTCTGCCTCCACCAGAGATTGAACCCGGAACCTTAGGACTACGAATCCCGAGCGCTGTTCACTCGGGTGTCAGGCCTCATAGCCTTGCTTAGATTTTTAAATGACATTGTTAGCTAACTTCCAATATGCTACTGATGTTATCCTGTTCACATTAGCTGGTGTTAGGGTTGAGATTGTCTATGCCCAAGTCTTTTTCTTATTTCTTGTAATTTCCCTTCCCTTATGGTACAGTATAGCTAAATACAGGTCTCCTATCTTAATCATTTTCATTACTTTGCACTTATTTGGATTGAATATTGGCAGCCATTTATTTGCCCACTCCTGAACATGGCATCTTGAAATATCAACATGTATAAGCTCATTTACATTTACAAGTAAGTTTATCTACATAAATTAAAAAGGGCAAGATCCTAAGACAGAGCCCTGTAGAACACCACTTTCCACTCCTCTCCAGCTTGACACATCCATGAGACCTTTTGTTTCTTGTCAGTCAAGTATTCCTGTACCCAATTGAGTGCTTTTCCTGCTACTTCTGCTTGTCTCTCCATCTTGTGTATGTCTTTTGTGGGGAACTGTAAATAAAATTTTGCTTGTTGAAAATTGTCTGCTATAAAATTTAAACAGATGCCTGCAGGAATTTTATATGCAATGAGACTTGCATCCTGCTATTCTAGCATACATTACATTATGATTAAATATATTTTTGTTCCTTTTACAGGCTATGAGTCAGGAGATGGATGACGTAGTATTCCTGAAGGTGGATGTTGATGAATGTGAGGATGTAGCTATGGAACACCAGGTTTCTTGCATGCCCACCTTTGTATTCTTCAAAGAGGGCAAGAAGGTAAATATAAAACATTGGCAACTAGGTAATGTTTAGGGAAACTAACAAATATAATTCTTAGATGGGTTGGAGTCATGTTGTCTACAAATATACACACAAGATAGCACAATTATTGTTATTGGGCAGTAGTCTTATTTCCACATTCCATATGTAAAGAAAGTATTGTATATAGAAAATGGCTATTATTCCCCTCAAACTTTGATCTTGTGACCAAGGCAGTAATATTTTGAAATTTATACATTTCTGGTGAGTAAACTGGCAAATTTGTCTTTTTGTTCAGACAGAAAAAAACACGTACATCAAAATTAACTCGTATTTATACTGTACTAAAGATGTACAGAAATGATCCAGAGAGATTTAGAAGAGTAATTTTAGAGATTTACGATAATACTGTAAATCAGTTTCACGAATTAGCCCCTAATTGTAGTGAAAATTATTATTATATGATCTTATCAAATTATATCTCATGGTCTCAATATACTGTACTTGGTAGTGGCTTTCCAAGAGTATGTAATGGGTGGGGAAGAACTTGCCTTTCTCCTACAAGAACTCGTGTACTGCTTGAATTCATCAATGAGCATCAAGGAAATGAACTTCGTAGGACATCTTGCAGCCCATTGTGCCGTAGTTCTTACCAGTCTCTAGACTAGCGCCACATAGTTTTTAGCCTTGCGGTTGCCCAGAAAGCCCCAAACAACTGTGACAACTGTTTCAGGCCACTTTCACCTTCCTTGTAATTACAGTACAAAGAGTTTTTATTTAACCCTTAGACCACGCATAGTTCCGCGAATATAGGGGGGTATAGTAGCGAAAAATATTAGAATTATATAAAAATAACTAAAATGTTAAACAAATCTCCAACTTATTGGCTTCAGTGTCATAAAATTTTCATCAAAATATTTTTAGAAATTGATTTTAGACAAATTTTTGAAAAATAAGAACATTTTATTGATAAGGAGAACAGCTCCTAAGAACGAACTGAAGGATTATGCAGTAATAGATGCAAGCACCTGTCCTATGCTCAAAGAAAAATAGTAGTTGGTGCCTTTATATCATTGCCGAGTAATACATAACACAAATAATAATAACTGTTAATCATCTATTTTGTTATATTTCATATAAATACATTGTCCAGTGTTAATATGTCACTTTCATCAATGTCCCAAAAATATTTTTTGGGGGCATTTTTTATTAGTTTTTTCTCTTGTTTATTCTCTGATTTTGTTGTAACCTTTGCATCCTGGAGAATGCATATGTTTCCAAACTTGTGAAGATAGAATGGAATTGGTTGACAAATAAATGTCACAACTCGCAAACATTGGGACTTTTAATTTTTTTGTCTGATTTTTTTCACCGATTTCAAACTATATTTTCTGTCTCTTTAGGTTGTTTTGATGATTAGCTACCATATTAGGACTTTCATTTATATAAAGTATACCGGGAGCTGGCCGGCCGAGCAGACAGCATGCTGGACATGTGATCCTGTGGTCTCGGGTTCGATCCCGGGCGCCTGCAAGAAATGATGGGCAGAGTTTCTTTCACCCTATGCCCCTGTTACCTAGCAGTAAATAGGTACCTGTGAATTAGTTAGCTGTCACGGGCTGCTTCCTGGGGGTGGAGGCCTGGTCGAGGACCGGGCCACGGGATACTAAAGCCCCGAAATCATCTCAAGATAATCTCAAGATACCCTAAATATATCCCCTAAATCATTATAATTATTAAATTAATAATTTAAAACCCTGTCAAATAATTTCTCTAGCTTTAATTAATAATTAAAGCTGTGTACATGTTAAATCAAATTTTAACTGCAAACTTTTTTCCAAAAAATTTATATTCCCTTTTAACTTAAATATTTTTTATACTGTTTAAATAATTTAACTTAAAATGTAAATTACTGTACTAAAGTATAATTTTTTTTAATTTGCAGGTAGAGTCTTTCTCTGGGGCTAACGAAGAAAAGATTCGTGATGCCATTGAAAGACTTCGATAAAGTTGTTTGGTTATTTTAAGGGCTTTACGTACATTTAGTTCACGTTTATTGAATTGCATTACCACACAAACCATTTTTGTAACTAATTGCAATGGGTTAACCATATTGTTTCATCAGTGTTGACATTACTTAAGATATTGTCAAGGTTAGTAAAGTTTCATTCTAATGCATTGCTGTTACCGTTATATACTTGTTTAAGTAACTTATATGTTTTTGAGTAAATTTTAAATCTTGGCAATGTATTTAATTTTTCAGTTTTTAATAGAAGCGTGTCAAACTTCAAAAGGAATTGCTTATATTATGGATTTGTGCCTTCTAGTTGTAATATTTTAAAATTCTTAATGGGCAATAAAATAATGAATGCAAAATTGTTTTATTCATTAATGTTACATCCTGAAAAAAACTTTTATTACTAGCTGGATGTAGTTGGTATGGATGCTGCTGCTGTGTATCAAGACAATAACTTAAGTTTCATTAGAATCTGCTGTGCCTAGAATTAAGGTTCTAGGTTCTGTAAGGTTCTTAATGTTGAAGAATTAAGGTTGCCAGAGTTCTAATACCAAACGTGAACACGTTCTATATTGTCATACCAGCATACAAATAAAATGGTTTACAAAAGTGTCTGGTTTAGCTCTTGGCAAGTCTTATTACTGTAAATCAAATCAATTCTCTATAATAAAAACTTCTGAACCATCTTCTGGGAAATTTATTTGAAGTGTTACATTCTCTTCAGTATCACTGTTTGAAATTGCTGGAATACTAATAAATGTTGGCTGCTTTAACTCGCCATCTATAGTTATCAAAGTATAAATGGTTGTTTCATCCACTTCAGATTCTTGCTTAGCTTCTAATATTGAACATTTACTTAGGTTTACAGATTCATTTTTTTCATCCATTACTTTACACGAGTCTGAAAGAACAGTGGTTTGTTTCCCATTTTGAAAATAGGATGCATGCAAGAGTGTGTTTTCTTCAAAGGTATCCTCCAAATCTTGAGGTGCCTGTAAGTTTCCCTTTGGCCGATTGGAAATTTTAACTTCAAAAGGTGTTTCACCAATACAATTTGACGCTGTCCCATTTATGGTTATCATTTCATTAACTTCGGTGATTAAATGCCCGCCTGGCATAACAGTACCTGTGATATTGGTGGAATTTAGCCCTGTGACGGGTAATAAATTATCTATACAAGTATCGGATACTAGAGTTATGGCTGTTAAGTCATTTAAAATACCAGGAAGATTAGCCATAGATTCATTTTCCTTCCTTGTAGCATTGTGGTTGTCGTAAGTTGTACAGGAATTAGGTTTTCTGTACACAAATTCAGTACAGACGCTTTCAGCAGGTGATCCCTGCTTTGTTATCCTACTGCAAAGATGAGATTTTAGTTCTTGCTTCCTCTCAAAGATTGTTTCTGGAAATAAGAGATTACAGCATTCAGTTTACTGGGAGTTGAAAAATATTGTACAGTAAATTTGGCAATAATTACATCCAATTTACCAAGCTGCTGTAAAACAGGTACACTAAATATGGGGGAAAAAAATTGAGAACACTTGACCACCACCTATTGCCGTTGGGCATTTGAGACTAAAAATCTTTTTTTTAAGGAAAGCATAAACACATGGTTCAACCAATGCTCTTTCAATTATTTTGTTAAATAATAATCTGTTTAGCTTTAATTGAATCATATTACGTGTACCTTGGTACCTTAGATAACAAAAAAAATCATAATAAACGTGTAGGTCAGATATCAAGTCAAGTTTGAGTTGACAAATGGGAGCTACCTGAAATAGGCCTTCGGCAGTTTCCTATATTCTTCAGGGTCTTTGGCTTTCTCTAGTCATAGAAATGACTAGGGAAGCCCTTCTCTCCTGGTAGCAGTTTGATAAGGTGAACTGGAGCCTCTTCATCCTCTTTCCCTATTCTTTGCACTTCTGATTGTTTTCCCAGCATTCCATTTTGAACTAACCTTACTGGATGCTGCCATTTGCCTCAAGTAATATGAGGTAGTGCATTCCTCAGTGGACTTCAGCTTGAGGTCAAACTATTAACTAAGCTGCCAGGAAAATACACCACAACAGATCCATTTATTCTATTTAGGGTGGCCAGAGCAGAGGCCCATAAGATAATCGGAATGGGTAGAGTTTTGGAGATCCTACATGTTTACTGCCGATATTCACATTCTTTTAATCTATCTCTTACAGGGAGGTAGGAAAGCTGTTCTTGATACGATATCTATCCTTCAACTTCATAGTTCAATTATTGCCAAGGCAGTGTTGTTACATGCGAGCTCAGCTTGTACTCTTAACACTATTATGGAGTACAGTACAGTACTTAGTTTGTACTCATAATAGTGTTAGGAGATCATAGTTAATTTAAATACAGTAATTGCAACCACTACTCTCTACCATGCTCTGTCCATATCCTGAGACATTTCCAGCTTGGGGATGCCTTTTATGCTTCCCCTCGTATAATCATAACATCGAGTTGTATTAGATGTGCACATGATTCTTTGACACATTAATATTTATTAAATATATTAATTGCACTTAAATTATTTTGTAATTTTAACTTTTAATTACCCAGTAATTTTATTTAAAATTATAGTAGTATCCAATAAACTACCAATTTGTAATACTTCTTCCTGTATTTGATTTCAAATTTAAGAACCAAATTGGTCATGTTTGGTTCATTAATACAATAAACTACTTTACACAAAACAGGTAAAAGTATGCTATAATCAACACCAATATAATGACCAAGTGACTACAACTTTATATATTCATGTAAATGTTGTAAACTGAAATAATCTTTGCTCACCACATTTGTAACATTTAAATGTTCTCACTGTTGAATGTTGTTGCATGTGTACATTTAGGGTACCTTTCAGAGCAAAACCTTTATCACAGTGCTTGCATACGTGTGGCTTCTCACCAGTATGTGTCATCATGTGCCGGTTCAAACTTTGTTTGTACCTGAAACACAGATAAAGACAGATAAACATACTGAATTTATTATTTAGTGTATAATGTGAAATAAAACTAGCTAGCTCACTTGCTCTTGCCCTCTCTCTTGACTCTTTCATCATATTTATCCCATTCTTTGTGGGTTTTTTCAGCTCCACACACTAAGTGAATTACTTTCTTTATTGCATATATTAATAAATAAATGTAATATTTACCGAAAGCTCTTGCTGCAGACAGAGCAAGAAAATGGTCTCAGGTCCCAGTGAATCAAGTAGTGGCGTTTTAGAGTACTTAGTGTTGGAAAATCTTGAGAACATTCCTGACATTTGTAAGGCGGTTTTGTAGCTGAAAAATGAAAGGCTATTAAAATACTATACAAGTTTGGTGTTGTAAATATTGAGATAAATTTAAGCCTACATAAAATAAAGTTTGAAACCATAAAACAGAGAAATAACTGGGCATGTCTTTAATCAATCAGTTGGAAGAGTTGATATTAAAACAAGAGTTGAGATAATTTTACAACCTTGTACTGTATATACATCACTTCATGAGGTATTTTTGTTTTTCCAGGAGACCACTCAGCAGTTCCCCAAGCTCTAGTACAATCAAGTCTTAGCTAAACACCCATTCCCTAAAACTAATTATCACCCACTTGAAGTCAAGATCAGAATCTGGCTCACTATCAGGCAAAGGGGAGCTTGGGAATGTGTGGCCAAAAATCAGAAAAACCCCATTAGAGATTATAGCCAAAACAAAACAAATGGTTGATTGAGAAAAATTAGGTGCCCCTAGGTAAACAAGGCAAACTATTGTACCCCAGGGGCAAAGTATCCTATCTGTGATGTGTCTGGCTGCCATACGATGGCAGCGTCACCTGTGATCTCAAACAGCCTGCCCCTCATTTTTCCAACAACTTGATGCCAATTAGTGCTGCAGTGCAGGGGCTGTTAAGTTTCTCACTTTCAGCTAAGTGTTGCTGGCTTTCCCTGGAACACTAGTTCTGCTGAATGTCATTTCTTTATTTTTATTTATACTACATGATTGTGTTTTTGCCACCCACACTGCATGTGCCTTAGCATTCCATCTTGCTCTGGCCATGGCAAGGGTTGTCTTCTTTGGGCAGGTTTATGTCTCCCAATGTCCTACAAGAGTAACACTGATTCAGAGCTCAGCAAAAAGACAACTATGACAAAAGACTGACTAAAAAAGTTCAGACTAACTGAAGGGTGGTGCCCCAACAGTTTCAGAAAATAGAGCTACTGGTAGCTGATGGTCCTTGCCATCAGCACCAGAGAAGGCAACATTGAAAACAAATCAGATCACTAATGGGTATCATGCAAGGAAGCAAACACTAAAGTATGTATTTCCCTTTGCAGACAATCTCGAAGAAAACAAGTCAGTACTTAACCAACATATGTGGTTTCTTGTAGAGTAGCTTAATAAGAGGAAGGTGTCAGGAGTAAAAGTGAGGATTGTCACCTCCACTGACCCTGTTTAGTCACTTAAGGCTAAATCTGGTTACTATCAATGTACAATGTAGTTGTAAACATTGTACTTGCAATGTACAGTAGTTGGCTAATGGATGATTAGGTAGCCAGAACAATTCTTGGAAATTTTTGACTTACTAAAAATCATTTAGAAAGTGTGTTGAATGGTTTGAATTGTTATTTTTATAAAGAGTGGTGCATTGAGATATGCTCTCTAATGAACTCCCTCATCCTTTATTTTGTGGAAAATGCAATTTGAAAACGTATTGTCTCATTTGTGTGAAAAGTTGTTCAGAGCTGATGAACATTCAATGTCTTGGTAAGGTTGACAACTAAGTCATAAGAGCACTACCAAGTGGACCATGCTCAGAAAATACCATTACTATTGAGGAATCAAGAAAAATAACACTGATACGTACCAGTATGTATGACTTCGTGCATCTGAAGCTTTAATACTGAAGAAAACTTTTTGTCACATGCTGAACATGAAAATCCTTCCATTTTCCTGAAATACAGTAAATTATGTGTACAGTACACCATATACAGTAATCTTTGAACAAGTGTTTCTTAATTCAGCGGGTTAAAGAGCAGATGTCTTCTCTGCGACTTGCTGGTTCAGACCTCTACTACAGCTCACTTTAAAGCCATAACATATATATTTTTCCTTTTTTTTTTTTTTTTTTGCCAGAACACCATATGAACAATTCATTTAATGTGTAGGTCCACAATTCTTGGTGGATGATTAGGAGTGAACAGTTTAAATAACATTGTACAGTCATCTTGTCTTACCCAAGGCTTTGAAGCCATCTACTCATGGAGACAAGTGGGTGAGTACTAGTCGCTAAACAACAGCCATTTTTGGTTTCACAACATTGTGAATACACTAGTAATTCACAATGTTGTTTACCGGAGTTTACCTGAGAGCCCCTAACACTAGTGGCCTCGATGAGGACAGTAAGCCGGCAGCTTGTTGAAGATCCCCTCATTTGCCTCATGTGGGTTGTGAATTTTATTTATTTATTTATATACAAGAAGTTACATTGGGTTTATGAGAGTACAGAGCATTGAAGTTTTACTTTCTTGTAAAGCCACTAGCGCACACAGTGTTTCTGGCAGATGCTTAATCTTATATATATAATTTTAAGAAGTTAATTTCTAGCAAAATTAAAAAAAAAATTACAGGTACATTGTACAAAAGTATAAAAATAAATTGTAAGAAGGTATAAAAATGCATTGTAAGAAAGTATAAAAAAAATACATTGTATAAGAAATTTGACAGAAAAAAAACGTAGGTATATTAAAGTAAATTAAGGGTTATCCACAGGTACAAGAGGATGACAAACTGGATCCAGATAAACTCTTGTCTATCATCATTTCAATAACCTCATCCAAGGGCATGTTAACAAACAGCAACTCAACATCCAAACTCTCTCATGCACGATGCCTGTGATCTTCACAATAAGTCAACAAATTCCTTTGGAGACTTAAGATTGAAAGCACATGGCACATATGGAGTTAGCAGCGTTAGCTTCATTTTCTATGATCCATGCAGATGTTTGTATTGCTTCACTGACTTTGTAGATGTTTTTCCCAGTGTTGAGTAGTCATAACAATCCCCAGCACCTTGCACCTCTGTGAGGGGAAGGGGGGCAAAAAAGGGCAGGTTTTGGTTCTGGTCTCCAGTAGGCCAAACAGGACTTATGATTGATGTGATCCAGTAGTGGGAAGCCATTTCGGCTGCAAGATAGCTTTAGGGAGTCACCAGTCATATGAAATCATATGAATAATGTAGATCATATGAAACAATGCAAACATTTAGATACTACGGTGTTTGGAGTTGGCTTTCTATTCACCACTTTAATACAAAGCAGAAATAGGGGTATCAGGTATTGAAAATAAATCTTATTTACATTGTTAATGGTTGTAACAAAGCCGGACAAATTTTCTAACCTTTCTAACATAACTATTCAATTATATGTATATACTGGATGTTGTAAATCTATTGGATGGTTTAAAATATGAACATAACCCAAAGCTACAAGATTGGATATTTTTTGTTTGGTGTCTATTGAATATGATACACTATAATTATATATCTGTGGACAAAATTCTATGAGAGCAAGATAAATAATGAATATGAAAAAGTGAAAGATGAATCTATTACTGTATATGTAAAACATTATGTCTCCACACTTACACCGTCTCTGTCTTAGAGATGACGTCATGAGCAGAACCATGTATCATACGCACATGATGCACTTGATCTGTTGATCAGCAAAAAATTGATATTAGTTAGCTTAAAGTAATTCATTTAACATGGTTGCCATTAACATCTTTTGATCATAAATAATTGATCTACTTTAAATATTTTGATGGAATAAAAATTAATAAACTATCAAATCACTTACATGAATACTGTATACAGTATTACCGTACTGTATTCATAAAACCTATGATCATATACCATATGGTCGATTAAATGGCATTATTCCAGAGTGCTTCATTTATAACTCAGAATGAATGCAGACTAGGTACCCATTAACACACTCATTCTGTTGAAGCACCTCTGCATCTCTAGCTACCGGTAGCTAAAGCACCAATAATGATTCGGTACTTCATCCAATTCAGAATTACAGTATCAGAAAATCTCTATTATTATCTTTGCTTCACACTAATGCTGAATGATTAAAATATAGTCCAGTACTCCGCCGTATGGGTTGGTGGAGCTTACGGCAGCCCCATTCCATACCACATGGTAACTCTTGCCACTTCATATGGTAAACAAAAACAATTTACTACTGTGCACTGCTGCTTATGAATTATTGATTTGGCCTCTTAAGAAGCAATGCCATCCTCACCAGAAAATTCTCTTTTTCTCCATGTAAAATAAATGTACTGCTTGAAGAATCATAATGCAAATATGATTCATCTATGCTTGACAATCCAAATTATACAGTAGTATCCTTAAAAGGCATTTGTGATGAATTTTTGTTTACACAAAACATGCATTGCTGTATAATACTACAGTTCTTCACTGTACAGTAATGAATAATTTCTATTTACCTAAAAAAAAATCAGCATTGAATGTAATGAAATACCTATTTCTGTCAGGTCCTTGGTAGCTCCTTGAGTTAGTTACCTAGATAGTGCCACCTAATTCAATTCATGATAGGTTCTTGCGAATCATTGTAAGCCTACCTGGTACCATAGGCCAAAACCTAGCCCTCTCTACATAGGAACAAGGAGCAGGGAATACTATATCATCCTAACCAAGAAAGAGTCACTAGAAAGGTTCGGCGAGTCAAAACATACAATCAGCAATTTAAACAAAGTGAATCCCTGGAATGAACAAACTAACCAATTGAGAAGATGTTCACCCATTTTTTCACCTGTGCATCACTAGGGGCCTGCACACCTTCCTCCTTGATCCCCTAGTTTTGACATGTCAGGCATGTAGCCAGGAAGATGGGGAAAAAATTAAACACCTGAACTGGGAACTGGGAGGGGTTCAAGGAGCCATCAAGAACTACTGGAGAGACATTTCATTACTTTATATTCAACACTGGTTTTCTGGGAGGGCTCTTAAGGTGGCTCTTTAAGGGGGTACTCACCAGGAGCAGAGGAGTGTCTCAGAAAAGTAACCCCAAAGAAACCCTCCAAGGAGAAAATTAGCAACAGGTTAACCGTGTAAGGAAGGGACTTGTGCGTTGAATACTATAACCTCTATGTGTGATTTAATTAACTTATTTAGAGCATTCTAGCTGCTATGCATAATTTGCTCAGAGCAGTTTTATGGTTTAAATGGTTTCACTGTTATGCAAGTGCTTGCTTCAAAGGAATATGAAATTGTTCTTTCTTATTAGTTCCCACACCATTTTTAAGGAGGCAAGACAGACTGCAAGGTTACTTGTCTCTGGGTATAAGAGTCATCACAGAGCCTAGGTGTATTGTCTCTTTTTGGCCAAGTCTGCTATAAATGACTAGGGGAGATACAAAAGTGGCCCTGAACAGAAATATGAATTATAAAAGCATTGTGATTATGCAACAAGCGATAATTAAAAGCATACTGTACCTCTCTTTCGCATATATGTTTTATCACAGTGTGGACAGGAATAAAATTTGTGAAAACTATCATGCATTTCCATATGTGACTTCAAATGAGATTGCCTCAAGAATTTTTTATCACAGTGACGACACTGATGAGTACCACGCCCAGTATGCAACCTGAAATGTGAAAAATATTAATGAGTAATACCTCTGATCAAGATTTAGGAAACCTCAGCCTCAGCTTAAGAATACAAAGTAATAAGGGAAGATAAATACCATTCAACCTACTTATTCAAAACTACAGTATGTACTAGTTTTAGTATAGGGAATCCCCAACTGGCAGATGGGATGCATTCTGGAAAGGTATTTATAAGTCGACTGTTAATAACTAAAAAAAAATTTCCTGTTGGTGGAATGCTATGCATGGGGGGAGGATGCATTTCTAGACCACCAAAACTGTAAATATGGAATAAAAATTTTGTGGGAATACATTAAAAACATTGTTTTTATTTATCTAGAATGATGAGGTACCCATTTGTCTTCTTATGCTTTTTGCAAAGTGAAAAAGTTTAATTGCTATAGGAAAAGACAGTAAAAGCTGGTAATACATGAGGAGACGGTGATGGAAAGATTGATGATATCTTAGCCAGTGACATCTTTAGTGTCACTGGCTAAGAATATCATCCAGAATCTGCCCCCCTCCCCTGTCTGCTGACTCCCCCCATATGTTTCCCACCTCATAGAGGGGGCAAGAGGAGCTCGCAGAGACACTCTGGTAGATAATGAGTTTCCTTGGTGTTGTCTTAGACTGACTAGTAACTGGCTGTGCATAAACTAGGGATGCTACCAAGGCACAGTTCAGAGAAAGGCATTTCATTACATTCAATTTTAGTTGAGAATGATAAAGATTTATAAATTAGTTGAGTATGTGAGGGAAGACCGTGGTCAAAGTTAATGTGAGCTAAAGTAAAGTTATGGTGGTGTAGAGATAAAAAAAAATTCTGTGGTGAAATTACTGTGAATGGAGAAGTATTAGAAATGGCAAGGCAGTTTAAATACCTGACATGTGTGACTGACAAAAGAGGAATTTTTGCAAGCAAAGTCGAGAGTAAAATGAGTTAGGGAAGAAAAGTGACTGGTGCAATGAAAGCCTAGGTTACCGAGGACAATATGCTTTGAGATTCATTCAGAATGCTGCATGCCCAAGTGGTAGTGTCTTCCTTTAAGCTTGAATCCTTGATGCTTTCATAACATGAACACGAAAAATCATATACCATATTAGAGAAGTTGAAATGGAAAATCTGAGAAGCATGTGTGCTGTTACGAGAACAGAGCAAGGAATGAAAATGTCACTGAAAGATATATACAGTAGAGCATTAATCAGAAAATTACAATACAGAGAAGAAAGTATCGAGATGGTTTGGTTATGTTGAACAAATGGATGATAAAAATTGATGAAGGCAGTGTATCCGAGTGAATTTGAAAGTAGGAAATAAATGCTGAGAAGATAGGCATACATGACTAGTGTAAGTATTGGTGGTGGATATCGAGTGTCTACAGCACTTGGGATGTGGCATCCCAAGTGGGATGTAGATGTTCTCCTTCCTAAGAACATTGTGCAAGGAGCCTATGCTACACTTTCTAACTTCAGAATTGCTTTTAAATACATGGATGGAGAAATACTAAAGTAATTGTTCACGACTTTTGTTAGAGCAAAGCTGGAATATGCAGCGGTTGTATGGTGCCCATATCTCAAGAAGCACATCAACAAACTGGAAAAGGTGCAACGACATGCCACTAAGTGGCTCCCAGAACTGAAGGACAAGAGCTACGAGGAGAGGTTAGAGGCATTAAATATGCAAAAACTAGAAGATAGAAGAAAAAGAGGCAATATGATCACTATGTTCAAAATAGTAACAGAGACTCAATAAAATTGATAGCGAAGAATTCCTGAGACCCAGAACTTCAAGAACAAGAGGTCATAGATTTAAACTAATGAAACAAAGTTGCCAGAGAAATATAAGAAAATTCACTTTTGTAAACAGAGTGGTAGATGGTTGGAACAAGTTAAGTGAGAAGGTGGTGGAGGCCAAAACCGTCAGTAATTTCAAAGCGTTATATGACAAAGAGTGCTGGGGAGACAGGACACCAAGAGCGTAGCTCACATCCTGTAACTACACTTAGGTAATTACCTAACATGGCTAGATGACACTCAATTTGTGAAGAAGGAATACTGTATTTTGTTTGTACATTATGTGTCAAATAAAAAGAAGCACTATACACATAGTTTTAAAAAAGAGTGGGGTACTGCTCTAGATTACATGCTTGAGTGTAGTGGTGGTGATTCATTCATTATGCTATGCAGTGTGTAATATATGGTTATTGGACATATTATTTTATTAACATTTATACTATTATTATTAATCTATACTGCTCCTTTTTATTTTATGCAGATACCTCCCCAGCCTCCATTAAAGTGCAAAATAGGGTAAGATGATGATGACGACAAATTAATAGTCTTTCAGTTTGGTTATCTAACAAAAGATGCTATCCTTACTGCTTGTTAAAACAACTGTTCTTGGTTTCATGAAATAAAATAAAATACAACTACACAGTATATTCATTCAAAAATGTACTTAGCCACAGTCAAGTTCTAATTATGGTAAGTACAGTAAAATTTTACTAACGGTAATTTATGAACCTATCTGGATTATCCTTTTATTATCTGAAATTTTTTATTAGAAAGATAATATGCAAAGAAATATATATTTCCTGTTTCATATAAAACTAAACTAAACTAAACTAAACTAAACTAATATAAAACTAAACTTGGCTAAATAAAACACTATTTTTAAGCACTGATCTTTTAACTTTTGTACTTGTAACTTACCTCGTGTGATCAACAAGATACCGCTGCTTTTGGAAGGTCTTTTGACAAACTGAACATTGTGGCTGACCATCATCTATGCTGCAAAGAATGTTTTGTTTTAACTGGAGTACTTATGAATTTAAATCCAATATTAAAATAAATTGTTAAATGTAATGAAATGTCCCTTTTCTGTTCGGCCACTCAGTATCTCTCCGAGCTATACCAATGGATCCAGCAAGCATTAGAAAACTGCACAAGGACTTTAGGACCCACCTGAGCCTCCCAGAAGCCAGCGCCAGAATCTGACACTCTCTATGAGGCAAAAGGAGCTTGAGGGATCAAAGATCAACTCAAAACCTAGAAAAATCCAACCTGAAAGTAATAGCATATCAACACTGTATATGCAATAAATTGAAAGGAAATTAGTAACCCTAAACAATGCATGCAGTTGCTGCCATGAGGTAAACACCCCAGTAGTAATAAACCTGATCTGCCATCTGGCTGCTGCCAGATGTATAGGGGGATGATGAAATGTGCGATAACCATACATGAACATCAAGTAGCTAACTATAATCACTCCCCATCAACACGTCTCAGAGTCGGGAGGAATCATTCAGGATTCCTCATATAGGAGGAATCCTGAACCTGCCAGAGAAGATAACTCTGGTGGGGTAAGGGAGATGGTAGCCAGTTACCAGGGACCCTGACACATCCGGAGTAAAATGGAAATACTGGGCACATGCAAAATGGGTGTCACAAGACACAAATGTAAAGCAAAAAATAGAACAAAACAAAGCAATGACACATCATGGAACAAATTGTTCCAAAGTTATCTCACACCTCTTATCCAAAATTTCAGTGTGAAGCTGAATGTAGGCCCAGCAGAATGGTATAACTGGGGTTGCACCAGGTTGGTATGATGTGGCTGGCTGGTGGGAACCCTGAGTGACAGTCCGTCTAATTACCACAAGCTACACAAGCTTCACAAAGCTTCTTGGCAATATGTTAATAATGAATAAATATGATATATTTACTCATTATAATGTGGGTGCTGAATGTACAACACGAGAAAACATAATTTTAATCTGAAAAAATATATTTTTATTAAGAAATTAGACGAAAATAAAGAGCTGGTGACCCAAATAAAGTCGACGATCCAAGCGTCGGTTAGGTTAGGTTTGGTTAGGTTTGGTTTGGTTAAGTTAGGTTAGGTTAGGTTAGGTTAGTTTAGGTTAGGTCAACCTAACCTAACATATCATATTTATTCATTACTAACGTATTGCCAGGAAGCTTTCTGAAGCTTGTGTAGCTTGTGGTAATTAGACGGACCCCAGAGTGACTTTGTTTGCCATCTGGTGGCAATCAGATGCATTATGGCTGGAATGTTTATCTAGAGGCAACACTTATTTGCCTTGTTTTCCTCAGTGTTACTAATTTCCTTTTCAAGCAATTACTTGTTTTGATGTACTTATACCTTTTTTTGAACTTGGGTTTATTTTTTATCCCTATGCTCCTGTACCTTGCAGAGAGCCACACTCTGGTCCTAGTTTCTGATAAGCTTGGTTGGCCGCAGAGTCCTGAAGTTATCATAAAAAACTTGGTAGGGCTAGTGCTTTAGCTTTGGAAGCAACTAAGGCAACCCTCATAGAAACATGTGCAATATACTGTACAAAATTACATTACAAACCTTAAATATAAACAAAAGTGTGAGTGTGAGGGTTTAAAGGATGCATAATTGTATATTTTTGGCACAACCACTTGGGGTAACATTTGATTGTTGCCAACAGATGGTAGAATTTACCTGGTCTAAGCACTGATTTTGAAGGTCAAAGGATTTATGTGACATTTCATGACATGAAAACATTTTGCAGGAACCTGAACAGAGGTCACTCTTCACATTTATGGTTCTATTTACTTGTTACATTACTATTTACTTTAGCAGCAATAGGGTTAAATATCCAGCATTGAATGTAATGAACTGCATCTTTCTAGTAGGACCTCAGTGGCTCCCTGAAGCTACAGTATCTTGCTAAGATGGCTCCCCCCCCCTACTAAGTCACATCAGCCATTAGAGTTCTGCATGACTTACTGGGGACCAGATGGTCCTGGCCATGAACCTGGCCACCTCACAAAGGTACAGAGAGCAGGGAATTGTTATTATCACTGTCACTGAGAAGCCATCAACAACATGAGAAGATGGAAAACATGACTAACCAGGGAGAAGGAAAGCATCAACAATACACACAAAGATGAGACACTGGGATGAAAAACTTGACCCAGGACAACATAAGCCTGACCAGGAACACTGAGTAAACAATGAGCCACCAGGACCCTAGTAGACCACCAAACCCCTCGAGCCTGAAAAGCAACCCACAACATGTTAGAGAACATGGCAGCCAAAGCTACAAATTGCTTTGTAGCAATTTGTAGCTTTGGCTACAAATTGGCTACAAAACTACCCCTCAGGCACATGAACATCATGTGCCTGAGGGGTAGACTGCAGGCTGGCTAGATTGGTATGTAACTCACTTGTCACTCTCGTGGTGGTGGTGGTATCTATGCATAGGAGTGGACAGTACTCAGGATACACAGTCTATGGTTTAAAGACACTGTGGACAACTCACGAGATACAAGCCTTGGAACAAGAAACCAAGGAAACTGGATCAACAAACAGTGCAACCACCAAAGCAGAGCAGGTGGCATGCACTACTGGACACAATACAGTAAATGATGCAACCCTGGCTGGACAAACCAAGCATTAACCACCTAAGAATCCCTCCAGAGGCCAGCCATCTTATTCTTTGCCAGAAAAGAAGAAAGATGCAAACAAAGAAATTGTCCATCAGGGCCAAATGAACATAACTCATGCCTCCAGATAAAAGCATGAAGCTCCCTAACCCAACCACCGGAGACGAGAGTCAATAAAAACAGAGCGTTAAGAAACGCATCCCACACCTGAGGGAAAACTGTGTATTGAGGGTAGGAAAGCAATACCAACACCCTATCAAGAAGTCAAGATGGTACAAGAGAAGAATGAGCCAGCTAGAGGTGAAAGAAAGTACAAACCAGCTTTGGAAACGGTGCCGAGGAGACGTCAACAATAAGCTGGTACACCAAAGCCGAGCAATAGAGGCGACAATATTAAGCATAAAATTCTGATCAACAAACAACCAAGACTAAACAGACAAAACCACTAGAACACAGAAGAAACACAATGAGAGACAAAGAGGCAAAAGAAGCATTAAGAAACTTTATACTGATGCCACTACAATGTCAAAGACCCCTGTTCAGTATATAGCAATCTCAATCTCAGGAAGATAGCTTCAGGGAGTCACCAGTGGGCTCTCTTCAGGAATAGAGGCTTCTTATTACTGTATACATAGCAAGTGTGGGTATCCTCACCTGCATGTTCCACGTATGTGTGTTGCCATATGAGAAACAAGATTAGATTTTCTGGTAAATTTCTTCTCGCATATGTTGCACTGATGACCTATAGGTGTTGGTAAATGCTGCAGACTTTCAAACTGTATAATACAGAAATAAAAGATGGAAATAATGTTAGCATCATCATAGAATTTTTAATGAATATATTGTATAAATTGCCAATAAGATGCGACATACAGCCTTTTGGCTATATGTCACCTTCAGATATGAACATTTTCTATTACAGTTCGGGAAATTATGATAAGTAAAGCTTATGCTAAACATTTTCTTCAGTCCCTAAAACCACAAGACTGGTTGTAATAAACAAGGCTTTGAGTGTAGGTGAAAAGAATAAGTGGCACATTCAGAATGTAATACTATTTCTATAAATCTGTTAAAAGTTTTGCAATAGTAATAATAATTTTAATTACTGTATAAAATGTTGATAATAAATTAAAATACTTTACCTGTAAGTCTTTTTGATGGATGACAGCTACATGCCTCCACATATTCTTGACAAGTGCAAACTTAGCAGTGCACAAAAGACACTTGTGTGTCTTCTCTTTCTTGGTAGAGGAAATGTGAATTTCTTCAGTTATATTATCCTCAACCTCTTGATTCCTTTCTGAGTGAATACCAAAGTCCTTAATTTGATCATGGTCAAATTCATATGATTCTGCATGATTTACACCCTTGTCACTTAATATCTGAAAGCATAAATTCTTCATCTCTAAATGCTTTGTTAAAGCTGCCTTGGTTATAAAGGAGGTATTGCAACTCTGACATTTATATTTAAACAATATGTGTTTTTCTTTGTGGGTTTTAAATTGGTCAGAAGACATACAGTAGTTCAGACAACATATATGACAATGTTTTCGTTGGTCCTTGTGATAGTTAAGCATTTCTTGATCATAATAAACTTTGTCACAATTTGAGCAAAAGAGACATGATGTATCTTGCTTTCTATGACACGAATACTGATGTTTATCAAACAAATCAGCACTAATACATTCCACTAGACATGATTCACATGTGTAGTTCATTATATCAAAAATGTGCTCAGCATGTAAATGATCACTTAAGTCATTAGCATTGTCAAAACCTTTTCTACAGTGCACACATGTATTTTTTTCAATCATTACTTTTGGGTGTGTCTTAACATGATTTGCAAGACCTTTGGGGGTGCAAAATTCTAAATGACACTTTTGGCACTCATACCAAATGGTTTCGTTCCCAGCTTTCCTCACAGCATTTCTCACATTATCTTGAAGAGTCTCATTACACATACTTGCAATACCATCCCTGTGTTTATCATATTGTATTTTTTTAGTTGTTGTTTTTAATGAAGCACTTTCAGAACCTCGATAATATGCTTCCATATTTTTCATTAGATCTTTCAGAACAGGGTTCTGCAGTTCTTTCTCATTAGGATAATTTGTTATTCTAATGTCGTTATCTTTTATTTCTGTTAAAGGTGCTTCAAAATCTCTTATTTCCTGGCACAATTTTGTTACACTAGGAAAGCAGAGCATCTCACCCCTTAAATTTATTTTATGCAATCCATTGTTTTGCTGCTGGCTGAGTGAATATCCTGCTTCATCTGTAGTACTTACATCAAGGAAACTTTTTTTTCTAAACATTCCACTGCCTTTATTAGGCTTGAACTTGCGTACATATGAACGTCCACTATATAATACAGAAGTACCAAAAGATTCTTGCAAATAATTAGTTTCTTTATCTGAATAATGAGGGAGCTCACTGTTAACCTTCATTACTGATATGTTGATACTTTGGGAAGATGAAATCTCTCCACTAGCAAAATCATGGCTGTCATATATTTTAGTTGAATTTCCCTGGTCCATTCTTGAGTTCTGGAAATCAAAGAAAATATAAGAAATAAAACAAGACAACATTCTTATTGACAAGTCATAAATTATCAATGCCAGCCCAAGGGATGTTGGCCCCTCTAGGCAAGTTGGGGCCAGATTCATGATGCAGTTACACAAATATTTACGAATGTGTATATCTTTCCTCAATCTTTGACAGCTTTGGTTACCTTTATTAAACAGTTTAAAAGCATAAAAACTTCCTAATTAACTGTTGTTGTTATTATAAACAGCCTCCTGCTGCTTCGGAGCTCATTAACTGTTAAATAGTTGTAAACAAAGCCGCCAAAGACTGAGAAAAGATGTACAGGTTTTTGTTTGCGTAACTGCTTCATGAATCTGGCCCCTGAACTTTAAGGCCTACAATTATATTGTAATTAAAAATCTATATGAAGAAAACTGCAAATGTAAGAATAAAAAGTTTATTATAATACTGTATGTACCAGGAGGCCTGGTCGGGGACCGGGCCACAGGGACGTTGAGCCCCTAAATCAATGCAAGGTAACTGGTAGATAAAAACAAAAAGGTTCAAACACACCATTAGTTTTTGTGCTACACTGCATACAAAACCTTTGTTATTTCAAAATCTATAATCAAACTGTATATGTAGTACATTCCAAGAATTTGGGAATAGCCTATCCCAGTTACTCAAGTCACCTCCATTATTTGATAATTTATTTATTGCTGTTATTTTATATTCCTTAATAATGTGGTGAAACACAAAGCCAGAAGTCAGAATTGTTGTTTCATTTTTCCTATGGGTACTTATGCATAACTGAATATATGCAGTACTGTGTGTATGTATGTATGTATGTATGTATGTATGTATATATGTATATATGTATATATGTATATATGTATATATGTATATGTATATATGTATATATGTATATATGTATATATATATATATATATATATATATATATATATATATATATATATATATATATATATATATATATATATATATATATATATATATATATATATATATATATATATGTCGTACCTAGTAGCCAGAACTCACTTCTCAGCCTACTATTCAAGGCCCGATTTGCCTAATAAGCCAAGTTTTCCTGAATTAATATATTTACTATAATTTTTTTCTTATGAAATGATAAAACAACCCTTTTCTCTATGTATGAGGTCAATTTTTTTTTATTGAACTTAAAATTAACGTAGATATATGACCGAACCTAACCAACCCTACCTAACCTAACCTAACCTATATTTATAGGTAAGGTTAGGTTAGGTAGCCAAAAAAAGCTAGGTTAGGTTAGGTTAGGTAGGTTAGGTAGACGAAAAAACATTAATTCATGAAAACTTGGCTTATTAGGCAAATCGGGCCTTGAATAGTAGGCTGAGAAGTGCGTTCTGGCTATTAGGTACGACATATATATATATATATATATATATATATATATATATGTCGTACCTAGTAGCCAGAACTCACTTCTCAGCCTACTATGCATGGCCCGATTTGCCTAATAAGCCTAGTTTTCATGAATTAATGTTTTTTCGACAACCTAACCTACCTAACCTAACCTAACCTAACGTTTTCGGCTACCTAACCTAACCTAACCAATAAAGATAGGTTAGGTTAGGTTAGGTAGGGTTGGTTAGGTTCGGTCATATATCTACGTTAATTTTAACTCCAATAAAAAAAAATTGACCTCATACATAATGAAATGGGTAGCTTTATCATTTCATAAGAAAAAAATTAGAGAAAATATATTAATTCAGTAAAACTTGGCTTATTAGGCAAATCGGGCCTCGCATAGTAGGCTGAGAAGTGAGTTCTGGCTACTAGGTACGACATATATATATATATATATATATATATATATATATATATATATATATATATATATATATATATATATATATATATATATATATATATATATATATATGTCGTACCTAGTAGCCAGAACTCGCTTCTCAGCCTACTATTCAAGGCCCGATTTGCCTAATAAGCCAAGTTTTCCTGAATTAATATATTTACTATAATTTTTTTCTTATGAAATGATAAAGCAACCCTTTTCTCTATGTATGAGGTCAATTATTTTTTATTGGAGTTAAAATTAACGTAGATATATGACCGAACCTAACCAACCCTACGTAACCTAACCTAACCTATATTTATAGGTAAGGTTAGGCAAGGTAGCCAAAAAAGCTAGGTTAGGTTAGGTTAGGTAGGTTAGGTAGACGAAAAAACATTAATTCATGAAAACTTGGCTTATTAGGCAAATCGGGCCTTGAATAGTAGGCTGAGAAGTGCGTTCTGGCTATTAGGTACGACATATATATATATATATATATATATATATATATATATATATATATATATATATATATATATATATATATATATATATATATATATATATATATATATATATATATATACTGTACACACATACACACCAGAAAAAGTGCAAAGACATGCCACTCAGTGGCTCCCAGAACTGAAGGACAAGAGCTACGAGGGAGAGGTAGGAGGCATTAAATATTCCAAAACTGGAAGATAGAAGAAAAAGAGGCGATATGATCACTACGTACAAAATAATACAGTAACAGGAATCGATAAAATTGATAGGGTAGAATTCCTGAGACCTGAAACTTCAAGAACAAGAGATCATAGATTTAAACTAACTAAACAAAGATGCCGAAGAAATATAAGAAAATTCACTTTTGCAAACAGAGTGGTAGACGATTGGAACAAGTTAGGTGAGAAGGTGGTAGAGGCCAAAACCGGCAGTAGTTTCAAAGCGTTATATGACAGCATGCTGGGAATACAGGACACTACAAAAATGGCAGCAGGGAAGACCCCCTCAATTATAGACCTGTATCATTGACAAGTGTAATAGTGAAAGTATTGGAAAAACTAATCAAAACTAAATGGGTAGAACACCTGGAGAGAAATGATATAATATCAGACAGATAGTATGGTTTTCGATCTGGAAGATCCTGTGTATCGAATTTACTCAGTTTCTATGATCGAGCCACAGAGATATTACAGGAAAGAGATGGTTGGGTTGACTGCATCTATCTGGACCTAAAAAAGGCTTTCGACAGAGTTCCACATAAGAGGTTGTTCTGGAAACTGGAAAATATTGGAGGGGTGACAGGTAAGCTTCTAACATGGATGATAAATTTTCTGACTGATAGAAAAATGAGGGCAGTAATCAGAGGCAATGTATCGGAATGGAGAAATGTCACAAGTGGAGTACCACAGGGTTCAGTTCTTGCACCAGTGATGTTTATTGTCTACATAAATGATCTACCAGTTGGTATACAGAATTATACGAACATGTTTGCTGATGATGCTAAGATAATAGGAAGGATAAGAAATTTAGATGACTGTCATGCCCTTCAAGAAGACCTGGACAAAATAAGTATATGGAGCACCACTTGGCAAATGGAATTTAATGTTAATAAATGTCATGTTATGGAATGTGGAATAGGAGAACATAGACCCCACACAACCTATATATTATGTGAGAAATCTTTAAAGAATCCTGATAAAGAAAGAGATCTAGGAGTGGTTCTAGATAGAAAACTATCACCTGAGGACCACATAAAGAATATTGTGCAAGGAGCCTATGCAATGCTTTCTAACTTCAGGATTGCATTTAAATACATGGATGGCAATATACTAAAGAAATTGTTCATGACTTTTGTTAGGCCAAAGCTACAATATGCAGCTGTTGTGTGGTGCCCATATCTTAAGAAGCACATCAACAAACTGGAAAAGGTGCAAAGACATGCTACTAAGTGGCTCCCAGAACTGAAGGGCAAGAGCTACGAGGAGAGGTTAGAAGCATTAAATATGCCAAAACTAGAAGACAGAAGAAAAAGAGGTGATATGATCACTATGTACAAAATAGTAACAGGAATTGATAAAATCGACAGGGAAGACTTCCTGAGACCTGGAACTTCAAGAACAAGAGGTCATAGATTTAAACTAGCTAAACACAGATGCCGAAGAAATATAAGAAAATTCACCTTCGCAAATACAGTGGTAGACGGTTGGAACAAGTTAAGTGAGAAGGTGGTGGAGGCCAAGACCGTCAGTAGTTTCAAAGCGTTATATGACAAAGAGTGCTGGGAAGACGGGACACCACGAGCGTAGCTCTCATCCTGTAACTACACTTAGGTAATTACACTTAGGTAATTACCACGAGTGTAGCCCTCATCCTGTAACTACACTTAATAAATTACAATAAGGAATTACCACTTTAGGTTTATATCAAGTTCCCCCAGAAGGCCAAAGTACTAACCTTCCCCAGGATACAACTCCACAACAGTTGACTAATGTCCAGGTCAAATGGCAAGGGCCCTTTCAATAAGCTGATGGCTTCCTGTCCTCGTCGAGCTCACTAGGGTTAGTGGCCCTCAGGTAAAATCAGGTAAATCTGGTACCTATTTACTGTTAAGTGAACAGAGGCAACAAAACCATTTGCTTTCAACTCTTGATCACTAGATACATTATTAGGTAACTTTAGAGTCAGAAAAAAACATTACTAAATACTTTTTTGAGAATAGTTATAGATTTAAGGAACACTGCTCTCATATTGGGAATACTTGAACATCATAAAAGTTACAGATTTAAGGCACATTTTTCTACCCAAAGCCAATGGGCCTTCGGCAATTGTCTTTAATCTTATGTTCTTTAACACTAGCAGAGCAAGAACGTCACGGTTGAGCCAGAAAATGGGAACTCAGGGTTTAGTTTAGTGTTGGGCTTTTGGCACGGGATAGTTATGGTCTTTACGATAGGTAACAAACCAACCATCACGTATACTTTACTTCAGACTTGAACATAGTCCAGAGCTAGAACAAACAGCCAGTGTATGTGCAAAGAGAAGCGTAGACCTCTCGGTGTATATGTTTCTTCGATCCGTCACGGTAGGACATCATGTTTATGTTGTTTTTGGTGTTGGTTGAGAGGCGAGGAAAGTCGTGGTCGGATACGCCCTTGTTGCTGTTGAGTGTTGTTGTTATTGGGTTAGGGGCAGTTAAAGCACAGGGGTCGGTATGTACCCTGTCGATCCCATGTTTAGAAACTGTACTTGTGGTCGATCTCGAACCCATTGATGATGTGACGACTTATATTGAATTTTGTAACTAGCTCATCAAGACTGTAATTTGCTTAGCTAAATAAATTGTGGAGTTCAGTCCCTGAGCCCATTATGTGCCTCTGTAACCCTTTCCACTACCGCCCACAAGATGGGTATGGGGTGCATAATAAATGAACTAAACTGAAATGTAGTCTCAAAGAGGGAATCAAAACAGAGCCACACACAGAAACTATTTGGATTGAATTAAACGAAAAAGCTAATAATATTATAATAGGAGTAATATATAGGCCACCAAATTTAGACAGAATGGAAGCAAAGCATCTATGGGATGAAATATCTAGAGCATCTAGATCTAACAGTATTTATGTCATGGGTGACTTTAATTTTAGCGGAATAAACTGGTTGAACAAAACAGGGAATAGTGAAGCAGAAGATTTTCTAGAATTAATTGACGATTGCTTTCTTACGCAACACATTAAGGAACCAACACGGGAAAATAATATTTTAGATTTAGTGTTAACTAACAGGGAAACGCAAATTAATGACATCGAAATAGGGAGTGAGCTAGGGAGCAGTGATCACAAAGAAATCAGATTTAGCATAGAATGGAATAGACCAGTAGGAGAAAATTCTGTTAAAGTGCCAGATTTTCGAAAAGCTGATTTTAATAGCCTAAGAAATTTTTTGGGTCAAATTGATTGGAAAGGCTTGGGTATGGGGTGTGGGCCGGTCTTGGAGCGAGACATGAACCCAGCGATAGGTGACTTAAATGGGGATTTCGATGTGGATTCAATATATAACTTATTTAAGAATATTCTAAACAAAGCACAGGAACGTAGTATACCATACAAATTGAATAGATCGTATACTAATGACCCAAAGTGGATAACAAAGAATTTGAAGAACCTTATAGGTAAAAAGAGAGCTTGGTACAAAAGGATTAAAAATGGGGAGGTCACTTTAGAACAGGAATTCGTACAACTGGTTAGAAATGTTAAAAAAGAGATAAGGAAAGCAAAAAGAAACTATGAAGTTCGCATAGCAGGGCAAGCAAAGACAAATCCTAAAGGGTTTTTTCAGTTATATCGTACTAAGACTAGGGAAAGGATAGGTCCATTAAAAACTGAGACAGGTCAAATAACAGATAGTGATGAAGAGATGAGTAGTATTTTTAATAAATATTTTGTATCTGTATTTACTAAAGAGGAACTTAACAATATGCCTTCAGCCGAACAAGTCTATGTGGGTGGGGACGAGGACAGGTTGACGAGTTTAGCAGTTACCAGGGAGGATGTTCTTAAACAAATAGTAAAACTCAAACCAAACAAATCCCCAGGGCCGGATGAAGTGTTTGCTAGGGTGCTTAAAGAATGCAAAGAGGAACTTTGTGACCCACTGTCAACCATATTTAATAAATCAATAGAGTCAGGCAGAGTGCCAGAGTTTTGGAAAGTTGCTAATGTGATACCAGTTTTTAAGAAAGGAGATAGATCACTTGCGTCTAACTATCGACCAATTAGCCTAACGTCTATTGTGGGAAAGTTACTCGAATCTATAATAGCAAATAAAATTCGTCTTCATCTTGAAAAACATAAATTAATAATTGAGTCGCAACATGGTTTTATAAATGGCCGTTCATGTTTAACAAATTTGTTATCTTTTTATTCTAGCATTGTTGAGGCAGTTGATAGTGGTAAGGATTGCGATGTTGTATACCTTGACTTTAGCAAAGCTTTTGATACTGTGCCACATGAAAGACTGATTAAAAAAATAGAGTCTCATGGTATTGGGGGTGCTATATTAAGCTGGATTAGGGCATGGCTATACCAAAGGAAACAGAGAGTTAGTATAAATGGAATCAAGTCAGAGTGGGAAAATGTTGTAAGTGGAGTGCCTCAAGGCTCTGTCCTGGGACCTCTGTTGTTTATAATATATATAAATGATTTAGATTCAGGTTTGAGTAGCAACATTTGCAAATTTGCCGATGATACGAAAATCGGTAGGGAAATTAATTCGGAGGAGGACTCACTATCACTTCAAGTTGATCTAGATAAGGTTTTGAAATGGTCAAAGGATTGGCAGATGCAGTTTAATGCTGATAAATGTAAAGTTCTGAGGTTAGGTAATGATGATAGAGTTACAAGATACGAGCTAGATGGTGTTGTGATTGCGAAGTCGGATTGCGAAAGGGATCTGGGAGTTATGATTAGTAAGAATTTAAAACAAAAGGATCAATGCATAAATGTTCGTAACAAGGCAAATCGGACACTTGGATTTATTAATCGCAGCGTTAGTAACAAGACACCTGGTGTGGTTCTCAAGCTATATCTTGCTCTAGTTAGGCCCCATTTAGATTATGCAGTTCAGTTTTGGTCGCCATATTATAGAATGGATATAAATTCACTTGAACGTGTCCAGCGTAGGATGACTAAGTTAATTCCCCAAATTAGAAATCTTTCATATGAAGAAAGATTAACAAAGCTTAAGTTGCATTCACTGGAAAGGCGAAGAGTTAGGGGTGACATGATAGAGGTTTACAAGTGGATGAATGGACATAACCGGGGGGATATTAATAGGGTATTAAAAGTATCAACACAGGACAGAACACGAAACAATGGATATAAATTGGATAAGTTTAGATTTAGGAAAGACTTGGGTAAATACTGGTTCAGTAACAGGGTTGTTGATTTGTGGAACCAATTGCCGCGTAACATTGTGGAGGTGGGGTCCCTCGATTGTTTCAAGCACGGGTTGGACAAGTATATGAGTGGGATTGGGTGGTTATAGAATAGGAGCTGCCTCGTATGGGCCAATAGGCCTTCTGCAGTTACCTTTGTTCTTATGTTCTTATGTTCTTAACTAACTAACCCATGTCGGGTAAAAAATCGCGAAAAGATACGTGAATTCAGAGACAATTCTATAACGAATGTTCCAACGATGTGTAACTATTTCATTCAAAATGATCTGCTACCCTAAATTTTAGCCAAATATCCCCAGTTTGCTAACTGTAGATAGTAACTAAGTGACTGTAACCTATCCCCCGCTGCCCACTGGATGGGGGGCGGTGTGCAAGACAATCATATCAATTGTGACACTAGCTCTCCACATATGTCAGTTGCTTAATTTAGAAACTGTACTTGTGATCGATCTCGAACCCATTGATGATGTGACGACTTATATTGAATTTTGTAACTAGCTCATCAAGATTGTAGCTTAGCTAAATAAATTGTGGGGTTCAGTCCCTGCATGAGCCCATTATGTGCCTCTGTAACCCTTTCCACTACCGCCCACAAGGTGGGTATGGGGTGCATAATAAATGAACTAAACTAAAACTAACTGTGATGCTGTGGACCTTGACTTTAGCAAAGCCTTTGATACAGTGCCACATGAAAGACTGATTAAAAAGATAGAGGCTCATGGTATTGGGAGTGCAATATTAAGTTGGATTAGGCCATGGCTATTCCAAAGGAAACAGATAGTTAGAATAAATGGGGTTAAGTCAGAGTGGGATAATGTTGAAAGTGGAGTGCCTCAAGGCTCTCCCCTGGGACCTCTGTTGTTTATAAAATATCATACTTTATAACATTTATGCATAAGGTACTCATATATGCTCTCTTCTTTATCATACATTGTTCATTACTTCCCATCTTTTGTACTGAGATGATTAATTCATTAGCTCCCCCACCTCTCATTAATCTAATGGCAGAGGCTACATTTATCTCTGAAATTCTACCCCTAATATTCTTCAGATTCAACTCCATCCTCATTATCTATGATTATCTCAATCACAGCATTTCTTGGGCATCCTAAGATAATTCTCATGGCTTCATTTTGTACCTTCTCCAACTAGCCCATCCTAACCTAGGCCCTATAGCAGGCTGATGGGTGGAAATTCTGCCCGAAACATTATGCGTGCTAGTGGTTTTACAAGAATGTAAAAACTTTAATGCTCTGTACTCTCATAAACCCAATGTACCTTCTTGTATATAAAAAAATACAAAGTCAAATAAATATCTACATTGGCGATAAGAGAGAGAGTTTGAATCGCGCGGTTAAACGTTTACTGGGGCGGTGAGAGCCAATCAGCGAGCGCGTCCCGCCTGGCCAATAGGGCTTTCCGGTCCCGTGGTTTAAATGTGTTGACATTGTTGGTGTGGCGGCGAAGGTGTTCCCGCCCAATTTATACCTTATATCTCGGATTTCTGGTTAATAGGCGCCATCATGGGGGGTGAAATATTCGCGCAACAGGACCTCCAGCAATTGAAATATGTCGAATTGCTGAAAATCTTCAAAGGCCGGGGATTAAAAGCTGGGAGGAAGTTGAAGGTGAGGCCAGCTGGGCCTGGGGCTACCCTAGGCTAGTGTGTCATACTGTGTCCTGTGACTCCCAGCAGTCAGTCATACTGTGTTCTTTGATCCCAGCAGTCAGTCATACTGTGTTCTGTGACCCCCAGCAGTCAGTCATACTGTGTTGTGTGACCCCAGCAGTCAGTCATACTGTGTTGTGTGACCCCAGCAGTCAGTCATACTGTGTTGTGTGACCCCAGCAGTCAGTCATACTGTGTCCTGTGACCCCAGCAGTCAGTCATACTGTGTCCTGTGACCCCAGCAGTCAGTCATACTGTGTCCTGTGACCCCAGCAGTCAGTCATACTGTGTCCTGTGGCCCCAGCAGTCATTCATACTGTGTCCTGTGACCCCAGCAGTCAGTCATACTGTGTTCTGTGACCCCAGCAGTCAGTCATACTGGGCTGTGTGACCCCAGCAGTCAGTCATACTGGGCTGTCTGACCCCAGCAGTCAGTCATACTGGGCTGTGTGACCCCAGCAGTCAGTCATACTGTGTCCTGTGACCCCAGCAGTCAGTCATACTGGGCTGCGTGACCCCAGCAATCAGTCATACTGGGCTGTGTGACCCCAGCAATCAGTCATACTGGGCTGTGTGACCCCAGCAGTCAGTCATACTGGGCTGTGTGACCCCAGCAGTCAGTCATACTGGGCTGTGTGACCCCAGCAGTCAGTCATACTGGGCTGTGTGACCCCAGCAGTCAGTCATACTGGGCTGTGTGACCCCAGCAGTCAGTCATACTGGGCTGTGTGACCCCAGCAGTCAGTCATACTGGGCTGTGACCCCAGCAGTCAGTCATACTGGGCTGTGTGACCCCATCAGTCAGTCATACTGGGCTGTGTGACCCCAGCAGTCAGTCATACTGGGCTGTGTGACCCCAGCAGTCAGTCATACTGGGCTGTGTGACCCCAGCAGTCAGTCATACTGTGTTCTGTGGCCCCAGCAGTCAGTCATACTGTGTTCTGTGGCCCCAGCAGTATGTCGAACTGTGTTGTGTGACCCCAGCAGTAGTCATACTGTGTTGTGACCCCAGTAGTAGTCATACTGTGTTGAGTGACCCCAGCAGTAGTCATACTGTGTTGTGACCCCAGTAGTAGTTATACTGTGTTGTGTGACCCCAGCAGTAGTTATACTGTGTTGTGACCCCAGCAGTAGTTATACTGTGTTGAGTGACCCCAGCAGTAGTCATACTGTGTTGTGACCCCAGTAGTAGTTATACTGTGTTGTGACCCCAGTAGTAGTCATACTGTGTTGTGTGACCCCAGCAGTAGTCATACTGTATCCTGTGACCCTTAGTGGAATGTCATACTGTGTTCTGTGACCCCAGCAGTATATCATACTGGATCCTGTGACCCCAGCAGTATGTCATACTGTGTGTTGTATAAAATATTTTATTATAAAATTGTAATTTAAGCATTTAGGTATTTCTGGTAAGGATAGTCCTTTTTTTTTTAACACTGTGCTTTTCATCATCAGACAGAGAAGCTGATAGAAGCCATACTTGAATCGCAGAAGAGCAGCGCCCTCGCAGTTAATGCCGAGGCTGTGGTGGCTGCTCTGACAGATGCTGCTTCAAGACAGCCTTTGAAGGATAATGACAATGAAAAATCACGTAGGAAGGAAGTGGGATCAGCAGAGGAACTCTTGACAGACATCCAATTTCCTGACTCATTTTCTGAAGACAAGGATGAACCACAGGAGGTACGGCTACTGTATGTGTTGTCTACTTGAATGGGGAGGTTTTTATACTCTTGATGCTTCAGTCTTAGCTATTTCATACTTTGGAGGTGGTGTCTTTGGAGTTTTAATTTTGCTGAGCAAATTAGTTTTGATATAAATACCAGTTATCACACAGTTTGACTGGTGTTGTGTAAGGCCACCAGCAGTCTTGTTAAACATCTTCTGGTAATTTTATGAAGTATATTTTATATTTTTATAACTTCATATTGTTCAGTACCTGTTAGTAAGTTTGTGTTTAATGCAGTATTTATATGGTGAGATCTGCTGGTGTAGGAGATTGGGAGATGCATTTCCTCAATTATTTTCATGTGATCAAACTACAAGAATAAGTTTCCTCAAGCCGAAACTTATTCTTATGCTTGATATAATAAATTTGTTATTTTATGACCAAGTATTTATTTACCATTTTCAGGTTATAGCAACTTCGCCAAAGAAAGGTCGCAGAAAGAGCAAATTGATTAAAAATGGTTAGTATTTACTGTATGTGAATATTTGGTAACTACATATAATGATTGTAGAGCAAAAGTTGTAGAGATGTTGAAAGGACGTACAATTGAAGAATGAGCTTTTTTCGTGGGAACAATATTCTCGTGAAGAATGTGAGAATACTAGAAACTGCAGAATGCACATTGACCCATGTGAGGCGGCTGCTGTTTATACCTAACAAACACTACTATATATAGTGTGTGTGTGTGTGTAACCTATTATTGAAATAATTCAGATATCCCACATCTATTATGCTATTCAATAATCTCTATACATCAACAAACTTTTTTCCAAATCAGTGTTTTAGCTGGTCTTTTTTGAATCTAAACTTATGTTTCCATTGTTTTGTCCTATTTTGTGTGTACAGTATGCATTAAGCACCTTATTAATATCAGGTATACTCTTCGTTATGCTGTTATACCCTTTCATAAATTTGTATATTTCAGTCATGTCAGCTCGTATTTTGCTTTTCTAGGGAATGTAAACTTATTTTTAAACTTCATATTGCTGGGATTAACTTTGTTCTTCTCTGTTCACGTTCAGGTGAATGTATATCCATTCTGTAGTATTGTCATAAAAATTTACTGTATAATCTAAATGAGTCCTAATAGGGCTAGATAAATCTGAAGAATAACATTAGATGTTACTTCTAGATATAAATCAAAATAATCCGACTGACAAATTTTGAACATTTATACAGTGCTAGAATACTGTAAGGTAAAAACCAATGAAAATTTCTCAGGGTCTTTACTGTTCCCCTTTTGTTTGAGGAAAATTCTTTAAAGTCAGTGCAGATTTCATGAGAGAATTATAAAATAGAGAAAAATTTGCTTTTTGCCCCTGTTGAGCTGAAGGTTCTAATAATTGTATCCATTTTATATTTTTAAGTTGTTGAGAATGATGGGCAAATAACCAGGCGTCGGCGCACAGCAACATTTGAAATTGAAAAAAAGACCGAGAGCACAGCAGAAGAAACGCCTGGACCTCTGCCTAAGCGACGCAAGACTTCCACATATGAAGTGTCTGTTGAAACCAGTAAATCCAATACAATATCTGATGTGTCACCAGATATCAGAAGTGAGGAGGCTAGTAAGGTATGGTACTACGTGTAGAGGGAAAAGACTGAGCTAGGGGATTTATCTCTTTTTTTTTTTTTTTTTTCTCTCAGAAAGTAAAAAAAAGTGATCTGCAATGGCAGGTTTTAGAGAATGTAATGATATAATGACCAAACCACACACCAGAAGAGGAGGAGACGGCATCATTTCAGTCCATCCTAGACTATTATTAAGTTGATTGTAATAATTGTCAATTCTCAATTGACTTGATAAGGGTCCAGAAAGGACCAAAATGTTGCGTCTCATCATCTTCTGGTGTGTGGCTTGGTCATCATATCTTAACCCACGTTATTGTGATAAATTGTCTGCACATGTAATGATATACCAGAGTAAAGAAACTTCATGGTCTGTGTTAGATTAAATTTTAATAGGATAAAGATGGCTGGTGTGGTTGCTTATGGACTAGTCTCTGAAGTATCTGAGATACTACTGTGGATGCTTTGCTGTAGTGTAGTGGCATACTACAATGCCAGGTTTCTATGATCCAATCTAGTAGAGATGTGTATGGATTGGTGTCACTATGAATATCTTCAATTCTTTTGTCTTGTATATTATTATAATAATACTTGTGTGTTTACATAATTCTTAGTTTTTGCTTTGTTAAATGGTGGTTCAGTTTTCTCAGTATAGTAGTATTATTTTTTGCTAGAGCAGTCAATATTTAATTTTATTTATTCATTTACAAATGTCACATTTTTAAGTATATATATATATATATATATATATATATATATATATATATATATATATATATATATATATATATATATATATATATATATATATATATATATATATATATATATATATATATATATATATATATATATATATATATATATATATATATATATATATATATATATATATATATATATATATATATATATATATATATATATATATATATATATATATATATATATATATATATATATATATATAAAATATATATGTGTGTGTGTAATTACCTGAGTGTAGTTACAGGATGAGAGCTACGCTCGTGGTGTCCCGTCTTCCCAGCACTCTGTCATATAACGCTTTAAAACTACTGATGGTCTTGGCCTCCACCACCTTCTCACCTAACTTGTTCCAACCATCTACCACTCTGTTCGCGAAAGTGAATTTTCTTATATTTCTTCGGCATCTGTGTTTAGCTAGTTTAAATCTGTGACCTCTTGTTCTTAAAGTTCCACATCTCAGGAAATCTTCCCTATCGATTTTATCAATTCCTGTTACTATTTTGTATGTAGTGATCATATCACCTTTTTTTCTTCTGTCTTCTAGTTTTGGCATATTTAATGCCTCTAACCTCTCCTCGTAGCTCTTACCCTTCAGTTCTGAGAGCCACTTAGTAGCATGTCTATGCACTTTTTCCAGTTTGTTGATGTGCTTCTTAAGATATGGGCACCACAGAACTGCTGCATATTCTAGCTTTGGCTTAACAAAAGTCATGAACAATTTCTTTAGTATATCGCCATCCATGTATTTAAAAGCAATTCTGAGGTTAGAAAGCGTGGCATAGGCTCCTCGCACAATATTCTTTGTGGTCCTCAGGTGATAGTTTTCTATCTAGAACCACCCCTAAATCTCTTTCTTTATCAGAGTTCTTTAAAGATTTCTCACATAATATATAGGTTGTGTGGGGTCTATGTTCTCCTATTTCACATTCCAAAACATGGCATTTATTAACATTAAATTCCATTTGCCAAGTGGTGCTCCATATACTTATTTTGTCCAGGTCATCTTGAAGGGCATGACAATCATCTAAGTTTCTTACCCTTCCTATTATCTTAGCATCATCAGCAAACATGTTCATATAATTGTGTATACCAACTGGTAGATCATTTATGTAGAAAATAAACATCACTGGTGCAAGAACTGAGCCCTGTGGTACTCCACTTGTGACATTTCTCCAGTCCGATACATTGCCTCTGATTACTGCCCTCATTTTTGTATCAGTCAGAAAATTTTACATCCATGTTAAAAACTTACCTGTCACCCCTCCAATATTTTCCAGTTTCAAGAACAACCTCTTATGTGGAACTCTGTCGAAAACCTTTTTTAGGTCCAGATAGATGCAGTCAACCCAACCATCTCTTTCCTGTAATATCTCTGTTGCTCGATCATAGAAACTGAGTAAATTCGATACACTGGATCTTCCAGATCGAAAACCATACTGTCTGTCTGATATTATATCATTTCTCTCCAGGTGTTCTACCCATTTAGTTTTGATTAGTTTTTCCAATACTTTCACTATTACACTTGTCAATGATACAGGTCTGTGTGTGTGTGTGTATATATGTGTGTGTGTGTGTGTGTGTGTATGTGTGTATATATGTGTGTGTGTGTGTATATGTGTGTATGTATGTGTATATATGTGTGTGTGTGTGTGTGTATATGTGTGTGTGTGTAATTACCTAAGTGTAATTACCTAAGTGTAGTTACAGGATGAGAGCTACGCTCGTGGTGTCCCGTCTTCCCAACACTCTTTGTCATATAACGCTTTGAAACTACTGACGGTCTTGGCCTCCACCACCTTCTCACTTAACTTGTTCCAACCGTCTACCACTCTATTTGCGAAGGTGAATTTTCTTATATTTCTTCGGCATCTGTGTTTAGCTAGTTTAAATCTATGACCTCTTGTTCTTGAAATTCCAGGTCTCAGGAAGTCTTCCCTGTTGATTTTATCAATTCCTGTTACTATTTTGTATGTAGTGATCATATCACCTCTTTTTCTTCTGTCTTCTAGTTTTGGCATATTTAATGCTTCTAACCTCTCCTCGTAGCTCTTGCCCTTCAGTTCTGGGAGCCACTTAGTAGCATGTCTTTGCACCTTTTCCAGTTTGTTGATGTGCTTCTTAAGATATGGGCACCACACAACAGCTGCATATTCTAGCTTTGGCCTAACAAAAGTCATGAACAATTTCTTTAGTATATCGCCATCCATGTATTTAAATGCAATTCTGAAGTTAGAAAGCATAGCATAGGCTCCTTGCACAATATTCTTTATGTGGTCCTCAGGTGATAGTTTCCTATCTAGAACCACTCCTAGATCTCTTTCTTTATCAGAATTCTTTAAAGATTTCTCACATAATATATAGGTTGTGTGGGGTCTATGTTCTCCTATTCCACATTCCATAACATGACATTTATTAACATTAAATTCCATTTGCCAAGTGGTGCTCCATATACTTATTTTGTCCAGGTCTTCTTGAAGGGCATGACAGTCATCTAAATTTCTTATCCTTCCTATTATCTTAGCATCATCAGCAAACATGTTCATATAATTCTGTATACCAACTGGTAGATCATTTATGTACACAATAAACATCACTGGTGCAAGAACTGAACCCTGTGGTACTCCACTTGTGACATTTCTCCATTCCGATACATTGCCTCTGATTACTGCCCTCATTTTTCTATCAGTCAGAAAATTTTTCAGCCATGATAGAAGCTTACCTGTCACCCCTCCAATATTTTCCAGTTTCCAGAACAACCTCTTATGTGGAACTCTGTCGAAAGCCTTTTTTAGGTCCAGATAGATGCAGTCAACCCAACCATCTCTTTCCTGTAATATCTCTGTGGCTCGATCATAGAAACTGAGTAAATTCGATACACAGGATCTTCCAGATCGAAAACCATACTGTCTGTCTGATATTATATCATTTCTCTCTAGGTGTTCTACCCATTTAGTTTTGATTAGTTTTTCCAATACTTTCACTATTACACTTGTCAATGATACAGGTCTATAATTGAGGGGGTCTTCCCTGCTGCCACTTTTGTAGATTGGAACTATGTTAGCCTGTTTCCACCCGTCTGCTACGATTCCTGTACACAGGGATGCCTGAAAGATCAGGTGAAGTGGAATGCTGAGCTCAGATGCACATTCTCTCAGAACCCATGGTGAAACGCCATCTGGGCCAGCTGCTTTGTTCTTACCGAGCTCCTTGAGCATTTTTTCCACTTCGTCTCTAGACACCTCTATGTGTTCTATGTTGTTCTCTGGAATTCTTATTGTATCTGGTTCCCTAAAGATTTCATTTTGTACAAACACACTTTGGAACTTTTCGTTTAGTGTTTCACACATTTCCTTTTCATCTTCCGTGAATCTATTTCCCATTTTCAACCTCTGAATATTATCCTTTACCTGCAATTTGTTGTTTATGAATTTATAGAATAGACCTGGTTCTGTTTTACATTTGTCCGCAATCCCTTTTTCAAAATTTCTTTCTGCCTCTCTCCTCACTGCCGTGTAATTGTTTCTCGCATCTTTGTATCGCTGGTATGTTTGGGGGTTCGGCCTCTTCCTGTATTGATTCCATTTTTGTGTCTTTCGGTCTCTAGCCCTCTCGCAATTTCTATTGAACCAATCCTGTTTCCTAGTTCTGCATCTCTGTTTTGGTATAAATTTTTTTGTGCCTTTATCATATATTTCACAAAACTTGCCATACATCTCATTCACTTCCTTGCCTAGCATCAAGTCTGTCCAATTATACTCACTAAAAAAATTTCTAAGGTCACCATAATGTCCTCTCCTGAAGTCTGGTTTTTCAACTGCTTCAACCTCCTTATTTTCTTCCAGCTTATAACGCATTGCATACTTTATTCCCAAAAAGACATGGTCACTTTTACCCAAGGGAGGAAGGTACTGAATGTCAAATATCTCTTCCTCCTTCCTGGTAAATATCAAATCTAGCATGGAGGGAACGTCCCCTTCCCTCATCCTCGTAGCTTGTTTAACATGTTGATACAAGAATGTTTCCAGGATGAGGTCTACAAATTTACAGGTCCAAAAATCTTCTGTTTTAGCTTCATATGCTTCCCAGTCTATGGATTTCAAGTTGAAGTCTCCGACTATCAACAGTCGTGATCTATCGTTATCCGCTCTCGCTATAATCTCTCTCATTATTGTTATAAGACCTTCACGTTTACTATCTAGCTCCTCCTTTGACCATGTGCTGCTTGGCGGTGGACTATATGCATTTATCATCATTAGTTTATCATCCTCATAGCAGATCTCTAGTGCTATTATGTCAACTTCTTGTGGATTGGCAGTCATTATTTCCTTTACCTTTAGGTGTTCTTTTACCAGCACAGCAACGCCACCGCCTTTCCTAATTTTTCTGTCCCGTCTCCAAATTGAGTAGCCCCTTGGGAATATGACCTCATTTAAAATTACATCTTCAAGTTTTGTCTCCGTGAGTGCAACAATGTCTGGTGTCTGCAGCTGTATTACATCACTTAACTCCAGTATCTTCGATCTCACTCCATCTATGTTGGTGTATGCAATCTTCAGGAACTTGTGTGTGTGTATGTGTGTGTGTGTGTGTGTGTATGTGTATGTGTGTGTGTGTGTATGTGTGTATATATATATATATATATATATATATATATATATATATATATATATATATATATATATATATATATATTGATTTTATACCCGCATTAGGTCAGGTGATAATACAATGAAGGTGAAAAACATGGGGGGATACATAAGGGATAAACATAGGGGCTGCAGAAGGCTTATTGGCCCATACGAGGCATCTCCTATCTAAACACAAAGATTAATCCAGTGTAATTGGCCTGTTATGTTGGACATTGTCTTCTGTGTTGGCATCGATATGTTCTTGTCTTGTCCTTACACACAAGGACAAGACTTGTGTTGATATGTTCTTGTCTTGTAAGGACAAGACAAGAACATATCGATGCCAACACAGAAGACAATGTCCAACATAACAGGCCAATTACACTGGATTAATCTTTGTGTTTAGATAGGAGATGCCTCGTATGGGCCAATAAGCCTTCTGCAGCCCCTATGTTTATCCCTTATGTATCCCCCCATGTTTTTCACCTTCATTGTAATATATAATATATATATATATATATATATATATATATATATATATATATATATATATATATATATATATATATATATATATATATATATATATATATATATATATATATATATATATATATATATGTCGTACCTAGTAGCCAGAACTCACTTTTCAGCCTACAATGCAAGGCCCGATTTGCCTAATAAGCCAAGTTTTCATGAATTAATATATTTTCTCTAATTTTTTTCTTATGAAATGATAAAGCAACCCATTTCATTATGTAAGAGGTCAATTTTTTTTTATTGGAGTTAAAATTAACGTAGATATATGACAGAACCTAACCAACCCTACCTAACCTAACCTAACCTATCTCTATAGGTTAGGTTAGGTTAGGTAGCCGAAAAAGTTAGGTTAGGTTAGGTTAGGTAGGTTAGGTAGTCGAAAAGCAATTAATTCATGAAAACTTGGCTTATTAGGCAAATCGGGCCTTGCATAGTAGGCTGAGAAGTGCGTTCTGGCTATTAGGTACGACATATATATATATATATATATATATATATATATATATATATATACATGCATGCATGCATACATACATACATACATACATACATACATACATACATACATACATACATACACACACACACACACACACACACACACACACACACACACACACAAGTGTGTGTAGATATGACAGAGCCCGATAGGCTCAGGAATCTGTACACCTGTTGATTGACGGTTGAGAGGCGGGACCAAAGAGCCAGAGCTCAACCCCCGCAAACACAACTAGGTGAGTACAACTAGGTGAGTACACACAAAGGGAGGGTGGAGGCCAATAACTGGAACCTGACCACCCATCCCCAGAACCTGACCACCCATCCCCAGGGAAAGATTTACCCAGAAGCAGGTATAGATTAGCTTAGAATAGTCAGAAGGATTAAATAGCCAGAGAACAAGTATGAGGAGAATGGTACTCTTCCATTTTTGGATATTATGGTTCATAGTCAATAGAAGGTTCAAATTTAAGGTGTATAGGAAACCTACCAACGTGGGCTCGTATGTTCATTACTATTCAAATCATCATAGTAAAGTTAAACAAGCAGTATTTTCAGGAATGTTTCTTCGAGCTTTGAGGGTATGCAGCCCTGAGTTTTTTGATGAAGAGATTGCTAATATACATGAAATTGGGATGAGTTTACAATACCCAAAAAACAAGATACATTAGCAGGGACTCCAAACCAAAGTACATTAGCAGGGATAATCCTGGATAAGATTTTTGTTTCAAAGAACTCCATATACAAATTGCTCAAAACTGGGGAAAGGGGCTTGCCCATTGCCATTCCAAATGCCATTTGTTTAATCTTTGATACTTATTCTCTGACCGCTTAATCCTGCTGACTATTCTAAGCTAATCTATACCTGTTTCTGGGTAAATCTTTCTCTGGGGATGGGTGGTCAGGTTTCAGTTGTTGACCTCCACCCTCTGTTTCTCTTAGTCAGTCTGGTGTTGACAACAGCTTTGATAGGACGAAACATTCATCTCCCTTTCCCATTTCTCTGTGGATTTTCCAGGTACAAATGATCAGTGTTTTGTGATCGTTAATTGCATGCATGCTCGCGTGTATGTGTATGTATGTATGTGTGTGTGTATATATATATATATATATATATATATATATATATATATATATATATATATATATATATATATATTATAATAATTATTATTATTATGTTTAGTAAAATTATACTTATATTTAATTTTTTATCTGATTCAGGAGAGTAGTGAGCAACTGAATATATTGGTACAAAAATCTAACAAGAGACAGACAAGAGGTTCCCTATCTAATCGCTCTCCAGCTGTAGTTAGTAATTGTCAGATGTCTGTAAAAGGTAAGTACAGTGCAGAATTGGATATAATTTTTCTGTTTAGGTTACATAAAATTTAACACACTCACTCACTCACTCTTTCTCTTTTACTCCTACTACTACTTTGTTTGTGTTTGTTTAAAATATGCTCCTAAAGTACAATGCTATATTCGTTTAAGATCGTAATACATTCCCAGAGACATGTCTTCAACCAAAACGAATTTTCCTGTAGGAAATAATGTAAATTGAATTAATCCGTTCCATACCCCCCAAAAATATTAACTTAAAAATACATTTTTTACCGAATAACACTCATTTTGTACTAGTTATAATACAGTACTGTGTGTATATTGTGACAATCTGGAATAGAGCAGTAACTATTCTGGCAGGTGTTGCGCCAATCTCACATTAATAAAAATAAGGAGTAAATAAATTAAAATGAAACTGCTGGGTCCTTTTATGGTGTGTCAATTGCAGGCAAATGGCAAGTGAATAAAAACTTTAAACATTTCATATAACAAAAAAGATTTTAATTTTACTCAAAATATTAACATTTTTGCCCACTAATGACAAAGTATGGAGTCAAAATTTTAGTACCTTATATCCACTAATGACGAAGTATGGCGTCAAAAATATAACAAAATTTGGCCTGCTTTCGGCTTGGATGCACGAGAGGCACGCCACGGTTTTGGACATTATATGCATATACTCCTGTAGGGAATTTCATTGCGAATACATTGATACCAAAATGAAAGATCTAGGATGAGAATTAAGGTAACAAAGTTGAAAAGAGTAAACACATTTTATTGATCTTGATGAGCACTCATGGGGGTAACGCACTGTCACTTTCTCTGTTTGCTGTGGGTGGTACACCAGGCTTTATATACAGTATATGCATATACTCCTGTAGGGAATTCTATTGCGAACCCAATGATACCAAAATGAAAGACCTAGTACGAGAATTGAGGTGTATGCTGTATACTGTATGCGCTTTGTAATTGAAGCAGGGCCTGGCTATTGGGTAGGGAGGTTACCTAGCTGATCACATGTCTCTCCCCTTCTATCTTTTTTAATCGTTTTTGTCATAATTTTTTTTAATCGTATTAACATGCTGTATGATCAAATCTTTGAAGATTATCAATTTCTTTCAGAATCTGGCTCCCAATTGAACTTGACCACAGACATGGACACTAAACCCAAAACATCAGACACACAGAAGGTACTCAAAACATCAGAAACACAGAGGTAAGAAGTGGTAACTTTTGCTCGTAATGAGTCCTGTTCCTGTCTAAAGTTTGGATGCATTTTGAGTGTCCCGAAACATTTATTTATTTTTCCATTAATTTTATTTTTGTTTGATTTACTGGAAAAGTTAAATGAAAAAAAAGGGGGCAAACTTGGTAGATGATTAAAATTGTGTTATAAAAGGCACAATCTACTAGTATAGCAAATGATTTGTTTGCTTTGTTAGATAATTAAAAAATATTCTTCAATGAATCATTCATTCATATTTTATTGCCCCGTTTAATGGACATTATTTGAAAATGTTAAAATTCATATAAAAATGATCTGAGTTAAATGTTATGAAACTCATCATGGCCACTCTGTAGCTCACTGATGCATCAACTTAAAAGCATCCAAGCCTTTGGGAATATACAGTGGCCCTATTACCCACAAGTTCCTCCAGGAGACCAGGATCAGAATCTGGCACCCTTAATGAGGCTTTGGAAGCCCGTGGATCTGAAATCACTGCAGTATCAAGAAAATTCCACCAGTAAATAAATAAGTGCTCAAAAATAAGCAACAGCTTGGAGAAATTTGTAACCCTGATAACAACATAACCAATCATTACTGCAGTGAAATAGCTGCTTAGATGTACTCGTCTGCCATCAGATGACCTGGGGCCTTTGCTAGGCAGCCAGCTAATTCGTGCTGTCCTAAACCTTCCTAACTCCACAGAAAAGGAAGGCAACAGGTGAGGACTGGGAGCTATCGAGTGGCTCTCCAGAGAGAGGTGTTCCATTACACTTGATGCTGGATTTCTGAGAGGGCCTCCTTAGTAGCTTCCCAATACTATCTCAGAACAGAATCTGATCACAGAAGGCTGCTGAACCTAAAAAATTTTTAAGCAGAACACAGAATGATGGCCAAGGCTTCCCTGTGGATAGGAGGTTGACAAAATGGCCACATGCAAAAGCACTTGGCTCTGGGCCAGATGTCTGAGTGCAGCATGAGTACTGTGTAACTAAATAATATTCGACATAATAAGACCTGGTGGACTGCTAGGAATCTGTAGCTTGGGTTGATGAGCGTCCTCTGCTTCCTCGCCACTGTGAGGAGGGGGTCAGGTTTTGGCTCTGGTCTCTGGTAAGCCAAATAAGATTCTTGCTGTAAAGGAGAGAATGTAATGTTTAAATGTTTGTCATGCTGTAAGGTGGACTTTGAAATTCCAACCAAAGCAGCAGTTAGCTCTGCACAAGTTCATTGGTGCATATAAGAGTGCAATTATGTAAACATTTACAGATACATTCTGTGAATGGAAAACACGATGAAAATGTAATTATTAAATGTAGAAAGCCAGTTCTAAATTCAATAAGAGATAAGAAGAAAGATAACTTGAAAGAAAAAGCAATGGAACGTTGGGCAGGCTAGATTGAACATGAGCTGGCGCTCATCCATTGTGGGGGCAGAGGTGGACACAGATGGTCATCTTGGACTACACTTCCCCGTGTCGTAATTGTCCCTCTTGTAGCCAAGTCAGTGACTAGATTTTGTAGTGTGATGCCAGTGTATGATAGAATAGGTGTATGAAATTCATATGGTTAAGTCCCAGTGGTGACTGGCAATTGTTCTTGATTTTTGCCTTGTGTGTTATGTTGAATTTCGTCTCTAGTACCATCCACTGTAAAGTTTCCTGTTAAATGTTTATTTGCCTACAATTGGCATAATCCACTTTGTAATGTTGGTTTAACAGTGGAGTAGGTTCAGTTAAAGTACACTTAAAGTTAATGAAAGTTCAATGTTTATGTGAAGAATTGTATAGTACACCTTGGTGATTAAGTCCTGGATATTGGTCAGTCCAATACAAATTTTTGTCTTGGCTTAGTAAACCAGTTTTGTCAATTCCTGTCTTCATACAATCAAACGTGTGTCCTGATTAAATACTCCATTGGTTAATAAAAAATTATAATTTCTAGCCATTATTTGAACCTTAATGTGTGTGTTTATTAATGGAATAGCCCCTAACAGTGAGAAAGACAAATTCTTCTATCCAAGTATATCATCTTAAGAAAGCTTAAAATTTGTATATACAGTACCAGCCAGCATAGTGCATCATGGTACCTCTGAGGAGTACTCTCATTTTTGTTTCATTATATCCATTACTGGTTTTATGGGCTATGAATATTGAATATATTGATGTATATTGTATACAGTATATATATGTTTTATTATTTTTCTGTTTTATTTAGCACACCTAAGCGTAGGAGTTCAGCTAAGACGGCTACACCATCTTCAACACGACATTCCCAAGTTGGAGGAAATCGTTTGATCAATACTCCGAAAAGCAACACGAAGCTCAAACAAGATTCAAAAATTGTTAAACCAATGTTTACAGTTGGGAGAAATTGCCCCCCACTTAATGGAAAAGAGGGCAAGTGTTTTAATATATTTCCTATTTTTTATTCTCTGTGGAGGAATACCTGTGGTATTGTAACGAGGTATTTCCTGCAGGGGTATCTTTATTTTCACCGAGTTATTGTTTTTTTTTAATTTGTTGTGGTTGTGTAATATTAAAAATTTTGCATATTGGTTTAAAATTTCTAAGACTCCTTATGTAGGATAAGTTTTTTGGGTCATATTTCATTAAAAAATACTTGATTTACCTGTATGACGCACTCAGAATCTAAGCCCACTTGAAATTCCCATATCATTATATTCACATTCAAATCTATTGATTTGAAGCTGTTGTATTAATTTTTTATTCTATATAAGCATTCAAGGCTACATTAAAAAATTAAGTGGAGATGGTAATGTATGCAGTCTCCATAAAGCTCTTGGGCCAGATTCACGAGAGCACTTACGCAAGCACTTACAAACGTGTACAACTTTTCTCAATCTTTGATGGCTTTGGTTACATCTATTAAACAGTTTACAAGCATGAAAACTTTCCATTCAACTGTTATTGTTATAAACAGCCTCCTGGTGCCTCGGAGCTCATTAACTGTTTAATAATTGGAAACAAAGCCGCCAAAGATTGAGAAAAGATGTACAGGTTCGTAAGTGTTTGTGTAAGTGCTTTCGTGAATCTGGCCTCTTGCTGGTGATTGGAGCAGCCCACCACCAGGCAGGCCACACTGTCAGTCAGTGGAGTTGCCATTTGTGTTGTATTGTTAAGTGAAAAAAATATCATGAAGGGACGGTGCTGGTGTTAAGAGATGAAATTTATGAAATTTAAAGACATGTTTATCACCCACTCACCTTCCAGGCATTGAACAGGAAGAGGAGTAGGTTATACCCAACAGTCAACGGGAAACTGGATTTTACGTACTGAACACTTTTCTAGGAAGCATCTCATTCATTGAGACAGATTTGGACACTATATTATTCAATTATAGTCATAGATTTTGTCTGATGATATTAGTATGATAATATGTAATATTTCTTTTAGATCTCGAGATTTGCCAAATTGAGGTTACATTGTTTACCTCATTAACACCTTGAGTGTCTTCTCGGGTGTACTTTCATCTATAAATATTCCAGCTATTTACTATCTACCATTTATCTTACACTATCCAATCAAGTCATATTAGCATATGACAGCATGAAAGTATATTGTTTCCATGTAAATGTATTAGATCTGATATTAAAACTGAATATTAATAATAATAATAAATAATAACAATAACATTTTCCCCATAGGTTCTTCATGTGGTGGCTCCAACATTCCTCGGTTTCTGTCTTATGCACGCAAACTAAAAGTACCCAATTTTGCCAAAATTCATGAACGGGCATTCAGTCGTATGGAAGCACTTGATGATTATGTCGAAAAGAAACAGAAGCGAACAGACACCACAGATAGTGCAACTAAGAAACCACAGGTGTGTTAGTATTGCACTATACAGCTGCTGTTAATCAGGATTTCTGTGTACATGTATCTTGTCTTACCAGTTTGTGTGTACAGTATTTGCAATTTATTTTACTTTGTTACCACCCTTTTCCATGTGGAGGAGTGTTGTGACACTAGCTTGGAGGAAAAAAGGTTATATATATATTAAATAGTCAAACATTTAAAAAATTACTCGTCCATTCATTATAGCATTCATTATACATAAACAAGCACCACCTCACTCCATCAGTCATTCACAGTAGTACCACATGTTTCATAAACCAGGTATACAGTGATCCTCATAAATTGTCATGAAAAAAAAAAGTTATATGTATACAGTATATACGCACGTGTATATATACATGCAGTAAATGTTTATCACCCAGTCTCCTTCCAGGCAGTGAAGTGGAAGAAGAGTAGGTTATACCCATACACTGTACATATATTTATTTGTGAAAAAGCACTTGAACATTGTATGCAGACTACATTTTCTCACTTGCACTACACAACCTCCCCACTGACACATTTGCCACACTATACACACACTTCTCCCTACCTATTCCTACAGTCATATATGTACTAGTACATTCAACATTGTTGTTAATAATTTTATAATCTGGGTAAATATCGCTAACGAATTGGTGCAGTGTGGGACGACTTTACACTGGGTATCACGAATGGCACGAAGAATTATTTGACACATTTTAATCATTTTCATCAATTGTTACTCTCGTGGGGGTTTGTTTAGGGAAGATTTTACAGATCACGTCTTTAAAGGAGAGTTCTTTAAGGGGTTAAAGTAGCATTTAGCCATAGATTTAACTACCTATGTAATACAGAACTGAAGAGTAATTATGCTTTTACAATTTCTTTATTAGGATGCATCTGAGAAAGTGTTCCAGCCAACTGTTATTAGCACCAGGAACTTAAATCTCAATTTTACTTGTAAGTTTTATTTAATTATTCTGAGTTACATTTCTTAATTTAGTAATCACTAATACCACCTCATTTTTTGTCATTATTGGTAACCCGCTCTGTTTCCTTTTTTGAAGGCCCAGTCTCCTCCCTAATCTTTGAAATAAATGTGAAAAACTTAAGGATTTGTCTGCTTGCTGTGCTATACTTAATGTACTTCATTACATTCACGCCCTTTTATTGATGCAATTTTATTTACATGTATAGTATATTTTATCTATACAACATTTTTATCGAACTGAAAATATACTGTAATGTGTGATTGTAAATTATAATTATTTTTCAGCCCCAAGGTCCTCGGCTAGGAAGATTCCAACTTTTTCAAAGCATACAAGGGCTCTCTCTGAGAAGCCCAAACCTAATCCATCTCCGAAGGTTTTGCAAAGAATACAAAAAACTCCTAAAGTTCCTAAAATTCTTGAGACAAGAAAGAAAGCTTTACCATCCAGCAGCAAGTCTGTCGAGTCTCAAAAAACTGTCAGCAAAATTATAGGTGTACGTCAAAGATCACCTAAAGTAGCAAGACAACCCCTCGTTAACAAAACTCCAAGAAAATCTATTAGAAATGCTGCAGCAGTTACCAAGAGCTCCCAAAAGCCTGATCTGGTATCTGCTTTGAAGGTCATGTCAGTCAAGCAAGAGTCACCATTAAGACGTAGTGCTTTGCCGACACTTCTTAAGGAAAATGTTACGCCTGGTAAGTAAAATCTAGTGTACAGTAATTATTTTTCATTAAATTACAGATTCCAAAAATATGGCTTGTTGTCAGTGAACAGACTAGGTTAAACAAATTTTTTTGCATTATGATAATATGCATATTTTATCATATTAAAATTTAGATTTTGACTTGTTTGAGTGGAGTTAAAAGTACGAGATGTCAAATTTTGCGTGTGCATACACAGTTTTTTTTTTGCCATTATCTTCAGAGCTGTTGCATTTGGTTACCTCCTAAGGTAACCTTTATGAAAGTTGCTAAATGTAGCAAACTGTGCTCTGTAGGGAAACTGTAAAGTGGCCAAGACTTGAATTAAAAACATAGGTGGTAGATAAAAGAAGCTTGGGTCCTTCATTATGAACCAAAATTATTATTCACCATTCAAGACTGATAGCAACGAATAGATATGTTTATTATTTCAAAGAATCAACATCATGGTGGTACAGATTTATAAGGAATAACCCCTATGAGGGTCAGAAGAATAGTACAACAAATCGGATGCTGAATATGAAGATAAAATCATAAAGTTTTACAAGTACATATGTGATTAATGCCAGAAAAAACATAATTTTGAACTTTCACTGATGGCAAATATGGATGAAGTTCCTCTGATATTTGAGGTGGTATCAAACAAAATGTTAGACTCCAAATGTACATGGACAAAATCATTTACAGTTTAATAATATCACATATAATAATTACCTAATAAGTTATTTATTAGGAGAATTAGGAGAGCACTAAGCCATTGCAACTATGTAAGAACTGTAAAGGATAAGGATTTAGGATAGGGCATTGGAAAGGAATAGTGACCAACCACTTGGACAGTCGGGGATCTGCAAGAAGCAACACAAGGCAAATACTGATATGACCACTGGATAAGGATACTGAAATTGGTGACATTGTCAGTGCCATAAGGAACTTTCAAAGTGGTCCCTGTAGGGCCATTAAATGTGCTTGCAGTTATTAGATAACCCTAATCCAGCCTGTAATGACTGACTTACAGTATATACATCCCATAACTGTGGTGTAACAACTTTCATTTGTGATCAAATATAATGTCACAGTCAGTCTGCAACTAATGGCATATTACTTGTTTGGCAACGTAGTACCCCCCATCTGCTGCCAGTGTTAATGCCATCACTGCAACACTGTCTTATCTGCAACTCATTAAATTCTTCCTAATGGTATTGCTTATAATGTGGCTTTTCATATTTACTCAAAGCTAATTAACTATATGTAAATATTATATACATTTTCATTTTATATTATTGAAAATGCATGGAAGACAGTAATAACCGTAATATTATTTAAGTAAAATTATTTGACTAGTTGTAACAATTTGAAATCTGTTTCAGGGAGTCCATGCTCGGCTGTCGGCAAGAGGCAGGAGTATGACCCGAAGGCCACTATTAATAAGCCTCTAAACTACGTACCATACAAGGGAGCCTTAAAACCGATTATGGACCGAGCTACATTGAAGAATATGGCCGAAAGGAAACCGAAACTTAAATCCACGTTAGTAACATCGAACATTTTTGTTTGTTCGTGAAATTTTTGCTTACTGGTTAAATGTTTTTACTTGCTTAAAATGGTAAAAGGCTTTCTTAATTAAATATTAATTTTTGTTTATGAAGTATCCATTTTCCTTCCTTATCCCATGGCAATTTTAGAGTACATTTAGTGATATTCAACTTTGACATATGGGAACACATTTTATTTCCTAGTTGTAGTTATGTGTAATTGCATTTGTTACTTATTTGTGCTTAAGGGTAATGAGCTCCAATTCTTGGATCCTACTTCTAGCCATCGTTCGTTTGGTATGATGATTCCAAATACAACTGTGCTTTGTCATATCTAAATTTTTAACCTAGTGGCATCAGCTTCAGGTTCAATACATTTTATAAACTTATCATAGGAAGACACTGCATGAGACCTTTTGGCCCAATCCTAGATGGTACCCATTTAGATCAAACTCTTCTCCCCTATGCATCTATTGAGTATCTTTAAAGTTAGCTTCATTTTCATTTAGCTTCATTAAAGTTCAATTCATTTGCCTGAATGATGTTAGCCAGATACATATTCCCAATGTCTACCAAATTGTTGTAAAACCAGTACTTTCCCATGTCCTTCCCGAATCTGAATTTCTACAGCTTATAGCCATTGTTACAGGTTCTGACCTGATCCTGAATGACAAATATGACAACTTGAATGTGACAACGGGCAAATATGACAACTTGAACGTAAAGGTACTTAAAAACCACTCTTGGTCTAAAAGGCTAGGTGAGAGTAAGGAGCCAATTATCCCACCTCTACATTTACTGATGAACAAGCACTAGGGTCCAAAGACTGGCTCACCATTTACGACTTTTCTCAACCTTGACATTTCCTATCACTCTGACCTTTCTATTGTTTATCAGGTACAGTATGTAATAAAAATATATGAGTGAGTATGAAATTTATGAATATATATATGAATGTTATGAATTTATGAATATATATATGAATGTTATGAATTTATGAACATATAAATTTATGAATATATGAATTTTAAAGGCAAAATTAATTACTAGATTGTTAGACTTTCTCTTCAAGGCCTAGGCAAAGTTTGGTTTGGTTGTTGCCTTCTTTCTAGGGCCATCTGCAAAATCAGAAGTAAAAATGTAATTTTTCTTTTGTCAGTCTATATATTGTACATTCCATCCAGTGTGTGTATAGATACTATCATCTGTGGAGGACAAGTTGATTTCATCATAATACACACCTATTCCTTGAGTTTTTTTCAATGATTTATCACTACTAGAAAAAGAAGTAATTCTTGTTTTGCCTACTTGTCTGTAGTTTATAACTATGGTTTCTAGTTGTTCTTATTAAATTAATATTGATTTCAAATTATCTTCACTGCATATGTGTTTTTTACTATCCTGTGGTTATGTATGTATGTTGGAGTAGTCATGTGTTCATTAATGCATACTGTAATTAACAAAAATATTAATTTCTCAGGCAAGAAATACGTGAGGGTCAGAAGAAGATCCTAAAAGGCGTTCGATTCAACAAAAGATTTGAGCTACAGATGGCTAAGAGAGGCATTACTTTATAAGAAGAAAACAACTTGACAGAATTGTTCCTTGTGTTGCTAAAGGCATAATGCTTAATTATTAACTATTTTTCAGCTTCTCCTTAACACATTTAAATTAAGTATTCAGATATATTTTTTCTTCAGAGGATTCATTCTTGTTAATGGATCCTTTGATCCCTTTATTATTTTGTTTGACTATTTCACAGTTTTCTTTGCAGTGCAAAGAAAACAAATTAAGATAAGATTTTGTCTATAAGGATCTATTAAATTAGACCTTAGAAGTAATATCATCTTCAGTGAAGTCTATCGTCAACTTTGTGTTTTTCTTCGTTGTTAACACTGTGCTCTCTTCAACCAGGATGTCCTACAAAAGGGAAATTTATTCTGTATCTATAGAATTATGACAAAAAATATTTATTAGGCTTTTAGAATTTTCTCTTGTGTGTTATCTCCAAGGTAAGAAAATTACTTTTGATTATATGGTCTTGAAAGCAGTTGTAGAAATGCTGTTATTTCCTTGATTAATCTTGTCTGGAATATGATGAACTTGGCATAAATTTGTATTCTAAATAACTGCAACATTTTGGGTACCAAACAAAAAAAAATTATTTATTCACCGAAGACAGGTACTTTATAAAACATGTTTGACAAATATAGAACATGCTTATTTAAGGAGAAGTGACAATATTCTCTGAGATTTTTGCGACTGGTCTCTCTCTCTCTCTCTCTCTTTTGCAATCATATATTAGAAAATCTGTGGGAGGAATATAGAAATGTACGAAGAGGGAGCCTAAGGTTCGGGCAGTAGGAGTAAAAAAAAGATGCGAGCTAGGTATGTGGTGTATAAAGGTAAAGATGGATACAGCAGAAACATGCCACCATGCTGACTTGTTAAAAGATCAATGAAGATCAAGGTCTTGACTGGCAAAATAAGTGATGAGAAGAGGGAATAAAAATAAGTTTAAATAAAGTACTTGGCCCAGGTTTGGGAGAGGCAATAGCTAACCAAAGTAAAGTGATTTAATGTAAAAAAAATGTATTACTTGTGGAAGAAGTTGGGTTAGAAGTTGTGTGTACAAAATTTTTTTTTTTTGGAAGAAATAGTGTTAGGATGTAAAAGAAAAAACATAGGCATCATAAGATAAAAAGTTAATTGGTGCATTTTTTGCAGTTGTGTTAACATAATGATTTACAAAATATGATCTTAGGCAAAAGAATAACAGTATCTGCCTTGAAAAAATCATGTGCGTGGGTTTTTCAAACTTGCTCTTAATTTCTTCAATTAAATCACGTTACTTGTAATTAGAGCTTATGAAATGTAAATATTAGTCTAACAAATTCAGTAATTACACATCATTTGGCTCATATACGTTATTTTGATATAGTAGCATTTATTTTGTGTGTACATAAGATTCTTATGGTAAAAGTAATTTTATGGAAATAGTGTTAGCTAAAGTTCAGTCTTTGATGCTTGTGATGTCTCCTCAAGACATTCAGGAGTTATGATAAGGGATGACTGCTTTTATAAGATTTACATAGACATTAATTCTTTGTGTGTATCCTAACAAAGCCTGCAATTTTATTTTTGTAGGATAGGCATATTGACTTTTTCAAGTTATGGCGTAGATATGGTGCAAGTTACATCATAAGTTACAACTTGAAAGTATGAGTATTTTTATATCTACTGATCGTGTAAAATTCCATGTAACAATGTTTAACCAGAAGTGAACATTTTTTGTATTTGTTTTCTGTGTGAATAGCCAGAGTGGTGCACTCTAAAACAAATTATATATTAAATGTATATACAGTACACATGAAAAATACAATACCAATTAAACATGAACATTTCATTTACTGGGGAACAAATTTAATTTTGTATTTTTTTTTTGTTGACTAAGTTTATGAATTTTATGCTTAAGTGATTGTTTAGTATTTAATTCTTAATACCCCCTCAATGGGTGGTTCCTTGATGTGGTGCACAGGCTCTTGTACACTGCCCATGGGTAAGTGAGGGTGATTTATGCTCCCCTCTCCTCCTTGCTGCGATGGTGCACAAGCAAAATACACCCCTATATGCTTGCCGTGCATTCCCCATTGTTCTTTCATCTGGTTGTTGAACATACCCAGCAGTTTTGGCCTCTGATGGGGTAAGGGAATCTTGAGATTCCATGTCACCCACCGGAATCAATCAGCTCTCCTAATTAGACATCGGGTGAAGATAGCCTCCTCAGCTTCATTGATAGGGTTGACCTTCGAGATGATGTGACTACCTCATCATCTGGGGTGGGTGAATCTTTTTGAATCAATACAATGCTTTTTACCTCCCTACTGGGAGGCCCATGGTGACATCCTCACAATCATGATGCAGGATGCATCATGCAGATGCAGGACCAGAAAACAGGATTGGTTCGACAGAAATTGTGAGAGGGCAAGAGACCAAAAGACACAAAAATGGAATCAGTATAGGAAGAGGCCAAACCCCCAAACATACCAGCGATACAAAGATGCGAGAAACAATTATACAGCATTAAGGAGAGAGGCAGAAAGAAATTTTGAAAAAGGGATAGCAGATAAATGTAAAACAGAACCGGGCCTATTCTACAAATTCATAAACAACAAATTGCAGGTAAAGGATAATATCCAGAGGTTGGAAATGGGAAACAGATTCACGGAAAATGAAAAGGAAATGTGTGAAACATTAAATGAAAAGTTCCAAAGTGTGTTTGTACAAAATGAAATCTTCAGAGAACCAGACACAATAAGAATTCCAGAGAACAACATAGAGCGGATAGAGGTGTCTAGAGATGAAGTGGAAAATATGCTAAAGGAGCTCGGGAGGAACAAAGCAGCTGGCCCAGATGGCGTTTCACCATGGGTTCTGAGAGAATGTGCATCTGAGCTCAGCATTCCACTTCACCTGATCTTTCAGGCATCCCTGTGTACAGGAATCGTAGCAGACGTGTGGAAACAGGCTAACATAGTTCCAATCTACAAAAGTGGCAGCAGGGAAGACCCCCTCAATTATAGACCTGTATCATTGACAAGTGTAATAGTGAAAGTATTGGAAAAGCTAATCAAAACTAAATGGGTAGAACACCTGGAGAGAAATGATATAATATCAGACAGACAGTATGGTTTTCGATCAGGAAGATCCTGTGTATCGAATTTACTCAGTTTCTATGATCGGGCCACAGAGATATTACAGGAAAGAGATGGCTGGGTTGACTGCATCTATCTGGACCTAAAAAAGGCTTTCGACAGAGTTCCACATAAGAGGTTGTTCTGGAAACTGGAAAATATTGGAGGGGTGACAGGTAAGCTTCTATCATGGATGAAAAATTTTCTGACTGATAGAAAAATGAGGGCAGTAATCAGAGGCAATGTATCGGAATGGAGAAATGTCACAAGTGGAGTACCACAGGGTTCAGTTCTTGCACCAGTGATGTTTATTGTGTACATAAATGATCTACCAGTTGGTATACAGAATTATATGAACATGTTTGCTGATGATGCTAAGATAATAGGAAGGATAAGAAATTTAGATGATTGTCATGCCCTTCAAGAAGACCTGGACAAAATAAGTATATGGAGCACCACTTGGCAAATGGAATTTAATGTTAATAAATGTCATGTTATGGAATGTGGAATAGGAGAACATAGACCCCACACAACCTATATATTATGTGAGAAATCTTTAAAGAATTCTGATAAAGAAAGAGATCTAGGAGTGGTTCTAGATAGAAAACTATCACCTGAGGACCACATTAAGAATATTGTGCAAGGAGCCTATGCAATGCTTTCTAACTTCAGAATTGCATTTAAATACATGGATGGCGATATACTAAAGAAATTGTTCATGACTTTTGTTAGGCCAAAGCTAGAATATGCAGCTGTTGTGTGGTGCCCATATCTTAAGAAGCACATCAACAAACTGGAAAAGGTGCAAAGACATGCTACTAAGTGGCTCCCAGAACTGAAGGGCAAGAGCTACGAGGAGAGGTTAGAAGCATTAAATATGCCAAAACTAGAAGACAGTAGAAAAAGAGGTGATATGATCACTACGTACAAAATAGTAACAGGAATTGATAAAATCGACAGGGAAGACTTCCTGAGACCTGGAACTTCAAGAACAAGAGGCCATAGATTTAAACTAGCTAAACACAGATGCCGAAGAAATATAAGAAAATTCACCTTCGCAAATAGAGTGGTAGACGGTTGGAACAAGTTAAGTGAGAAGGTGGTGGAGGCCAAGACCGTCAGTAGTTTCAAAGCGTTATATGACAAAGAGTGCTGGGAAGACGGGACACCACGAGCGTAGCTCTCATCCTGTAACTACACTTAGGTAATTACACTTAGGTAATTACAATCGAGAATGTACATTTTCTGCAACCGATGCTGTATTCCATGATCTGTTTGGTCCTATTATGTGACCTAAATATTTTGGTGTGTATCATAACAGCTTGGTGCTTTCTTTTGATAATTAATTACCATAACAGTACCTGCGCAGATGATTTGTACATGCAAACAATGTGTGCATCCATAGAGTCAAAGGTAAGTTTAATCCCACCTTGACTTGCACCCACATCATTGAGGACCCTTTTAAGATGGCGTCCACTTGCCTAGCTGCCCTAACTCGCATTGATAAGGTCCTAGTTCGGGTCTCCACAAATGACCCATTGAATGCCAGCATTGGCACAGTCCTGCCCAATGTTGAGATGGGAAAGGGGGGCAGGAAACCTAAAGACTGCCATGAGGATATTAAATATATCCACAAGGCACAGGGTTATTCTGTCTTCCAGGTTGGAGGACCAACTGGGGATTTAAGGGAACTCGAGGACCCCTGTCAGACTCCTCCCCAAGCCCCAGAAGCCTGAAGTGAAAGCTCGAGGGTAGATTAGGAGTTCATGCCTACTGCTTGAGAAAGAAAACCCAGAAACCTTGGTGGGACTAGGCAGCTCAACTGTCTCAGTACCCAGAGAAGGCCAAGTCGTGCTGACTCTGAAACACTTAGGTGTTTTAGAGCTGGAAGCAAGGGAAAGACTGGGTGTGATGAGTGGAAACTGTGTGTACCACACCTGAAGGGGAAGGAAGAGGAGGTGCAGGTGGAACCAGGATGAGAAGCAGCAGGATCAGTGTGGCTGGTTGATGACCTGGGAAAATTAGTGATCAACCAATGATGTCCACATCATTGTGCCAGGTCGAGGACTGAGCCACAGGGACGCTAAGCCTCGAAATTATCGAAAAGTAATAATTTCTTTCTGCACCTCTGTGAGGGGATGGGGCCAAGTTCTGGCTTTGGTTCCCTGTAGGCCAAACAGAACTCTGACTGCTGTGCTTTGTATGGAGAAATCTTAGTAAGATAGCTACAAGGGCCTCCTCCAGAAAATCTTTTTGAAACATTGAAAAATCATAATACAGTACTGTATTATAATATATGAATTGTGAAAGAGGTGCCACATGTTGTGCAAGTTATTAATCTTGCGTTGGTCATAACATTATTTTTCCAAGTATAAAATAATAAGCAATGGAGTATATTTTATAAATTTTATTGTAAAATCCTACTATCCGAAGAGATGCGTAGATCATGATATAAAAAACACTGGTTTTGTGACATGACAGATTTCCATCGTTTAAATCTGTAGGTCACATGTAACCAGTACCAAACAACGTCTTAATAATCCAATGAACATCAAGTGGTTTCCTGATAAAATTAAATTTAAATACAAATTAAGAATTAAAAAAAAAAGAGGGGCTAGAGGATTAAATAATTAAAGTAAAATAGATATAAATTTAAAAACTAAGTTTAGAGTAATATTAGAAGATTTCATATAAACAAATTAACTTACTATACAGTCAAAAGGTTCATAGTAACTAGCTTTAAGTGTTTATACTGTGCTAGGAGAAGAGCATTAAAAACAAACTTTATGATACGTAATGTAAACCTAACACCACTTGAATATCTGCTAATATTACTTGGCAAAATACCATGTGTGGCTCTCGGCTTTATTAGAACAGGTTAAGACTGTACAATTGAATACCAACAGCAACTGGTATAGAAAAAATTAAATACATTACTAATATTTACAGTTATACTAAAAATTTGTGCATGAACAACAATTTATACATGACATTCATAATTATTGTTAAAAAAATATATAATATTTTGTAAAGAAAACTGAAAAGATATCTTAAACCATAGGTACAGGTATTATCAAGGTCAGTACATTATAGTACAATATTTATATTTACTTGTAATTGTACCATTTTAATTGCAAGTTTACAGTAAAATATAATTTGTATGATGTAAATAGACTGCTTTTGTTGCAGGAAAGAGATTATTGGATAAAGATTTCTTATTCCTACATGTAAATTTAAAATAAAATATTTAATGCAATTAAAAAAATGAATGATATACGTGAATGTATCATTTAGTTACGAGACTTAGTCCTTTTAACTATAAAAAGCTTCCAGGATTATATAAAAGCTTTATGTATACAAACAACCCTCAAGATTTTTTCCAGAATATCTAAAATACAAATTTGCATTGACAAATACATTAGTTTCCACCCATACCCTGGGTTCAAGGTTAGCACAAAATTTGGCTAGGGAAAAAATTAATGTTGCAGAAGATAATTGTGTTTTTTCATCCCATGGCACCTACTGGACGTCATTCAAAGTGGAGTGGTGCAAGAATTGGCTGCAACAATTTGTTGAAAGGGTGAAGATGTTAAGCAAAAACAAATCTCTCCTGTGACTAAAGCCCAGCTAAATAGAAACATTTCCATTCATCCTATGTGTCTATTTTCTTTGTGCAAAGAATTTTTGATGAAGCATTGT